CTTTGTTCCTATTCTGCTTTTTCATATTGTCTTAACATTCATTCTTTCACATAGTTTTATAAATCTAGGGAAAAGGGCAGAATTATGGGACGTAGAGACAGAGTGTCTGGGCTGATGGGCATCTTGGAGCTCTTCTGCAAGAGGTCTGTTTGTATTTCTGTACAGCCAGGATTCCCGAGCCCACCATTTGTTTAATTCATAATTAATTTGGACAATTTTTACACTTCACTGTCCATTGTATGTCAGTTTTTTGATGAGCTAGTTGGCTTATGGCTGCACTAAGCTTTCTCGGTCATGTAGAATCTGTTTAGGCCTTTTGGTTTATCTCATGGGCAGAGCCTAAAGTACTTGACAGAATTTGACCTGACAGCTTTACAGTTATGTAACATTGAACAGAAGCTTAAAAACAAGAGAGAGAATCAAGGGATTTATCCTCCCTCTCTCCCAAACCTCACATCATCCCTTGCTTTTGTAAACCGGGGTGGAACTGCTATAATGCTAATAGTTTATGTAGTTTTAAGTCAGTCATTAAGATTTTTTCTAATTATAAGAATTTCGGGAAAAAAAAGAATTTAGATGTTTAGAAGGTCTTTAGGATTAACCTGTCCAGTTGTATTGCCTTACTAATGAAATTGTAGAAGCCTGAAGACGGTAAGTAACTTGTGTATGACCATAAAGTTAGTAGCAGAGCTGACCCAGAGTCATGGGAGTTTTAGTTCTAGCATTCTTTCGAATGCAGGATGTATGTAGAATATTAAGTCATGAAATAGTTACAACAGTTTAACAAAAAGAAAATTTATGCAACTATATGAAAAAATACTGATGTGTGATTTTTGCATGTTAAATAAAAGTAAGTATAAAGGAAAGTGTATTTTGTTGCCTGGGTTATTATTTTTCCTGCTTTACTAGTGGTGTGATGACTGGTCACGTTTCTTAAATTGTGAATCTCTTCAGTAATACAGTGGCTTGAATCTGTACCTTAGAGATTTAGGAGATGTTTTTAAATGATGCCAACATTCAGATTTTGGCCTCTATAAATCTGTTAAATGTAAGACTATCTTTAAAGCCTGAATATAATGCTTCTCAGTGTGTCCCCTACTTTCAAACTTAATGAAGTTTAGCATTGAGAGTGGCGGGTGTGGGGCAGACTTGGAAACACAGGTGTGTTGTTGAAGGTAGGAGGTATGTGTGTGATTAGCCTTAGGAGTTATTTTTCATGTTAAACCAATGGTGGGTTTAGTTGTTATTAGGTCTTTGGGGGTAATTATTTTTCATATTAAAGCCTGTGATGGATTTAGTTCTAAAACTGTTCATAAATTGTAGTTTTTAAGTGTTTTTTTCCTAGTGTTTTTGTACTTGTGAGTCTGAGAACATCTGATTTGCAAATTCAAGAAACAGGACTGTTTTCTACTTAAATTGTATATACAAGTAAAGAAATAATATTTGGCAATAAAAACAAGTCCAAACCTGATTCTGAAAAGGTCTAAGAATGAAGGAGAATGCACTGTTGTCATACTGTAGGCCTCTTGTATTTGCCTTTGGCCTATGGGAGAGTAGTAGTGAACAGCCCATAACTAGGGCATTTCATTGTTTTCTCTTCCTCCCTCCCTCCCCTTCCCTTTCCTTGCCTCTGCTGTAGTGTTCCTCTTGCCCAGCCTGCCCAGGGCTTCTCAGAACTTGCTTTCAGTCTGGAAATTAGGTATTTCCCTAGGTGTTTTTTTGTTTGTTTTGGTTTTTTTTCATTTTGAATTTATGACAAAAAAAGAAGATTGTCTAAACTGACAATTAAGCTGTGTTACCTTTGAGCTAATAATTTTAAATACTTACTTTTCTTTCTTTCCTTAAAATGGATATTTTAGACATTTATATTTACTAACTGTAGGATTGAATTTAAGTGTTCTGCTAATAGATTTTTGGCTTTTAAAAAATCAATTTGATTAAAAATACAGATATATAAAGTTATATTTTCAATTTAATGTACAAAGTGGTAAAGTCCTTAACCAGATTACAGGCAGTGCTAAAACATGTCTCCTTATCACATCTTCAGAATTCAGAAAAAAAGTATTCAACTATGTGTCCCTGTTACTTATCGGATGTCTCCCTTAGCTCTGCACATATAAAGGTCATTTTAGGAGGAGCGTGCTCCACTCAGCTGATGCCCTTCCTTCTGGTGGTCCACGCCTCGATTTTCCTCCCTTTGCCCTCTCCTTTTTTGTTTTTTGGTGGTAACCGGACTAGAAAGTTCTGTTGATTTTTTTTTTAATTTTTAATCCTTTTATACTTTTATAAAAATTGAATTTCAGGGGCTGACAGACTAGCTCAGCAGGTAAAGGTACTTGCTGTCAACCTGACAGCATGAAGGGTGGGACAACCGACTCATGAGGTTTTTCTCTGACCTTCACAGCAAGCCAGGGACACATGCTAAATGTCCCCTCCAGCAAACAAAACAAAGCTAGTCCATAAGTTGTAGTTGAAGAGATCGATAATAAGTTTTACAATTAGGCTTTCCAGTTTTTATTTTAGGTAAATAAAAATGGTTAGCGCCGAGGTGGCTCAATGGTGAAGGAGTTTGGTACTATGCTGAATGCCTGAGCTCAGTTCCCAGTACCCACATGGTGGAAGGAAGAATTGACTACCTGCACGGTGTCCTCCTCTACTCACAAGCTATGGCATTGCAAACTAAAAATTGTATGAATTGGGAACTCTTAGAGCAGGAGAGTAAACCCTAGCTTTGTTCTTACTTTAAGAAGTGGTAGCTCAGTAGTTGTCACAGGTCCTCATTTTACTTAATTTCTAAAAAAAAAAAAAAGATACGTGTGTATGTCTGCATGCTGCCTGTCTGGTGCTATAAAGGCCAGAAGGTGTTGGATCCCCTGGAACTGGGAGTTACAGAGGGTTGTGAGCCTCAGTTTCAGTGAGATTAGTTAGCATACCTGTGTATACCTAACAGAGGAGGGTATGTGTCTAACCAAAAATTCCATAGGCCTCTCAGTGGGTTTATTCAGCATTGCTAAATACTAAAAATAGCCCTGCTGTCCTTCAGTATAGAGTGGGCAAATAAATGATATTTGGTAGAATACCACATAGCCAAATCAAAACCCAAAACATTTTAACTGGCAAATCCAGCAACATTTCTGTTTCCCACAGAAGCCATGTTGAATAGAGTTAGTAAAGAATATCCTAGAAGATTTCAGTTCTAAGTTAAAAAGTCAGCAAAAGGAATGTTTTACTTAATCCTAACACTGTGAAACAAATCACATTTAGCAAATCCTTCCCCATAGGTGGAAGTATGTTACATACTCAGTTTTCAAGGCTCTTACATGGATTTTTGTATCTTGTTCTGTCATCCACTTATGTGACTGTGTCATCACAGTTATGGAAGTATTGTTTTTATTTCTGACTTTTAAGGGGTTTCCTAGCTATTTTCCTTGTTTTCTCTTTCATATTAACTTTAATCAACTTAAGTAGTGTCAAGGGGAAAAAAGACAAAGATATTTTCATTAGTATTGCATTATATTAGGCTATTTTGGGGAGAACCTTTATCATATTGTTAAGTTTAAGCTTATTTTTACAATTGTAAGATTGTCTTTTCTAGTTTTAATTTCAAAATGATTTTTTATAGTTGTTGTGTTTGGGTGTATTTTATTTTTCTTTCTTTTCTTTGTGCCTGGAATTTATTATGTAGATCAGGCTTGTCTATAACTGCAGAAATCTGCCTGCTTCTGCCTCCTAAGTGCTCAGATTAAAGATGTGCCCAGCATGCTTGGCCCTAAAGTAAACACCTTAAAGAAACAAAATGAATAGCAAATTTTTCGTATGTTTTTCATTTTCTTCTACAGACGTTTACATCTGAGGTATATCTTACACACTACAACATTCACCCATTATAAGTGTATATAATGTAGTGTTTTTTTGTTTTTCTCTCTATGTGTGCATGTATGGTGATTTTTTAAAACGTTATTTATTTTATTTTTTGGTTTTTCAAAATGGTTTCTCTTTGTAACAGCTCTGGCTATCCTGGAACTTGCTCTGTAGACCAGGCTGGCCTTGAACTCATAGAGATTCACCGGTCTCTGCCTTCTGAGTGTTGGGATTAAAAGTGTGTCCTGTATAGTAGTTGTTCAAAAAACAGATATGTAGGGTTGTTTATTAGCTGGACTAAATTTATATTTTTATTTCTTGGGTTTGGCTTTTACAATGAACTTAATTTAAAAATATGTACCAAACTATGGACCTAGCATTTAGTTGTGAAACATTTGTCTCATTCCAGAAAATTTCCATGTAGTGAAAACAATTAGATTTACTTATTTCATGTGTGTAGGTGTTTTAACCTGCATGTATATATGTGTACTACATGTGTACCTGGTGTCAGTGGAGGTCAGAAGAGAGTATTGGCTCCCTGGTACTGGAGTATGGATGGTTGTGCACTACCATATCAGTGCTGGAAAACTGAACCCAGGTCCTCTGCAAGAGCCACAAGTATTTTTAACTGATGAACCATCTCTCCAGTCCCAACCCCATGTCACTTTATAGTGACTTACATTGAGGGGTATGTAAAAGGCATATTTATACATATATTTTATGTATATGAACATATATGCATGTCTTTATATCAGCATTTGCAGGCGTACGCATGAATTCCTGTTTCATTGCTTAGTTTTTTTTTTTTTTTTTTTTTTTTGTTATTTTGAGAGATCTTACACAATAACCTGGGCTGACCTGGAACTCTGTGTAGTTCAAGGTATGCTCAAACTGACCAGTTTTTTCTCCTTAGTCTCCAGAGTGCTTGATTACAGGTATTAGCCACTATTTCTGGCTTTATTACTGTTTTAATATAAATGAATAATACTAGAAAGTTTTTGACATATGTGCCTAACATGGGTCTCAAACTATCTATCTTGATGTTGTGAAATAAAAGTATAGAAGTCTTCTTACAATAACATAGGGCGTATTTTTTTTTTATGGCATTCATTGTAAATGTGTTGTCCCATGTTTGTTAGAGGATGGCCTTCCCTGTGGATTTACTGGAAAACTGCACACATGAGGAATTGGAAAATTCTGCCGAGGATTACCTCTCCAACTTAAGGTGTGGAGACCCTGAAAATCCAGACTGTTTTTCTATTCTCAATATTACGGTAAGGCATTCTTCGTGTTTTTGGTTTTTTTTTTTAACCAACGTTTAGTCAAGGTTACATATGAAATCACTATCTTTTAAAAATATATCAATGTAAAAAAAATTCAATTTTGAAGTATTTACCAGAAGTCTACCAGTAAGATGTGTTAATATTGATTATTAACAAATTGAATGGCAGATTAAAAAAAAAACCCTTTTTTGCTGTGGTGTGTGTGTGTGTTTGCATATGCATACGGAGACCAGAGGAGGAAATTGGATGCCTTCTTCTGTTGCTTTATACTTTATTCCCTTGAGACAGGGTCTTTGACCAAACCTGAAGCTTACCATTTCAGTTAGGCTTGCTAGACAGTGAGCTTTCATGCTTCTTCTGGGGTACAGATGAGAGTATGGCTGTGCTTGGCTGTAGTGTGGGTGCTGGGGTTTTGAGCTCCGGCTCTCATGCTCAGGTTGCAAGTGCTTTCCCCACTGAGCCGGCTCTCAGCTTCTCTTTGAAGACAAACAGGTAGGTCATTCATTACTTGGGTTGTCTTTTGCCTTTAATTTTTTTGGGTAAGAAGCTTACCAGTTCTGTTAGGACAAGACACCATGTCAAAGTAGTGTCACTTAAATTTCCTTTAAATTTGGAATTTTGAATTTAGAAATTCCTTTTAATTAAGAAAATGAAAAAGGCTAAAAAATTACACTTTTTTGCATCATGAGTCTTTTCTTTCTTTCTTTGAAAAATTTGTGATTTTTGGAAAATCAAAATTTTGATCAGCAAAGCTGTGTTACTTTGAGACATGGGGTCATTTAAATTCTGTATGAACTGAAGTGGCCAGATTTCTTAATATTTCTAGAGCTCAGAGCTTGCTTCTGGAAGTGACTAAAGAACTAAAACTTTTTATTGTATTGGGAGGGGCATGTATGGAAATCAGAGGACAGCTTTTAGTCAGTTCTTTCCTCCAGCCCTATGGGACTTGGTGACTAAACTCAGGAGCAAGTTCCTTTACCCACTGTGCCGTCTCACCCACCCTGATGAAAAGAGTTTTTAACAACTTCTCCAGCACCAGTATTTTAATTCCATAAATTGACTCTAAGTGGAAATTTAACTAGGCCAATGAAGGCAGTGTTCAAGTATTCCATGTATCTTGCTGAAGCATCAGTTTACTTAACTGGTTTTTTTAACTAGAAAATGAAATGTGTCCCTCTTGTGAAGTCTAATAATAATAACTACAGCTGGTTTTGCAGTGACATTTGCTTTTACTTAGTAGCATGGTTGCCATCTAGAAACAAATTTTCATTTTTTCCACAAGAAAATTCTTGTAGAAGTCTCTTTTTCATTGTTGCTGTTTTTTTTATTCTTTTTGGGACAGACTAGGGATATTATTTTGTATGAAATAAAGCTGTATATTAGAATAAACTTGAGAAAAGCTTAAGTTCTGGCAATTCCTTTGGCATTTTGTTGTGTATTTTCATTAAATTTTCCACTAATCTTGAGTCGTCTTTTGTTTCAGATCCCGATCAGCCTGTCAAACGTGGGCTTTGTACCTCTTTATGGTGGCACTCAGACCCAGAAAGTTCTTGCTCTCTTTGCACCTGAGGATTCGCTCACAGGTCTTTCTTGCTTTGCCTTTGTAAATGGAGGAGCTTGAATTAAAACTGTTAGGAATTTACTGAGAAACTACATGCAGTAATTTGTTGTATAAACTTTTCTCGTATTTAGTTTTAAAAAATGTAATTCTCAATTGCTTATAATTAAACATTTAATGAATGAAGTGAAATGAAGATATAAAGTGTGAGTCTAGGATCCAGGGAAGGTAGAGCACTTGCCTGGATGTGAGGGTGTTGATTTGATTCTCAACGGGACAGGAAAGGAAAGCAAGCAAGAATGGGTGTGCTTTATAGTGTGTCTATAGTCCTTAGCAAGCAGGAGTATTGTCTGTTTTAACCCTTCAGACTTAAGTGTTAATGGCCATTTTTCAATTTTAGCTGTGGCACTTTACCTTGTTGACCAGTGGTGGGCCATTGATGATATTGTGAAAACATCTGAACCTTCCAGAGAGGGGCTAAAGCAGGTAATCGTAATCAGATCATGTCCCTCAGTGGTTTCTGTAAAGTGATAGTTTTTGAAGTTGTTGACACCCCCCACCCTCCACCGCCCCACCCCTGTTTCCATATAACCAAGTTACTCTGAACTCCTGGGGTTTCTTATAGTGAAACTAGGACCTCAGTTTATATGATCCTTCCTTTCCTGAGAAGTGGGAGAGAAGAATGGGCTCCCTGGGTTAGCTGACTGAGGATGCCTGCCTTTCTCAACTGAAGCCTTCTGTTTGGTGGAGGAGAGGCCAGTGTTTTGGTGTGGCTGCATTTGAATGGGAAGGACCTAGAGGCATGTCAGATTTTGACAGCTCAGATAGGCTGTGTTGCAGTTCCTTTTTTTGAGTTTGGAACTCTGAAAGACATCAGACTCAAAGGGAAGTAATTTGAGGGAAGTAATGTGAATGTTATTCCTTCTGGATATTGTATTTACTCATAAAAAAGAAGTCTTAAAGTATACAAACTGTATTCCTTCTGGATATTGTGTTTATTCCTAAATATGCCTTTAGATTCCAGAGTAAGAGGCCCATCTTATAGAAGCTGGGAGAATGCACGTCTGGATATCTGCCCATATCTGCCCAGTCTTGAGCTACTATAGAGGAAGAAGGAATCTTAAGTGTATATAAAGCCATACAGTAGGTGTAGAGATAGCCGTGCAAGAGTGTAACTTGTCATGTCTGACAGTGGAACTCTACATAAAGAAAGGAAATAAATATCCCATGGAATTGAAAAATGACTGAGTTATGGCATCTTAGAACATTTAGATGAAGGTTAAAAGGATAGGGAAGGACAAATAGATGTCATGTCCTCTCCTACTCACAGGAGGAAACTAAAGCCTCCAGGTGTGGATTGGGAAAGGAGGTTGCCCTAAGATTAACGATGCCTTCAGCTCAGTATCCATTTGACAGTGTCACCTCTGAGAAATGAGAAATTGGTGAGGGGTGGGGCAGGAGGACCAGCTGGTCTATCAGAAAAAATGGTAAAGTCACAGGAGGAAATAGCTTGTTTATAAGTATATGACCTTGAGCAAGTGACATTATTGTTGTAGACCTTATTTTCCTCTATTTTATTTGTTGGGGTAAAATTTAATTGAGATAATAAAGGTTATAATCCCATGTCTCAAACTTATGCTTAGTTATATATGGGTAGAGGTCCCCAGGCTCATGCTACAAGACTTTCCCCTCTTTTCTGTCCTGGTCATCACACTACCAGTTCCTTGGAGGACATGGATGACATGCTTACTAATTTTCTGTGTCCCCGCGCTGAATGAAGGAACTAATCCCCAAAAAGCAGAATCCGGAAACAAAGATGGAACCTGGGTGGCTTAGCCATTTTTCTGATAAAATACCATGACCAAGGTAGTTTATGGAAGGAAGAGTCCATCAGTACAGCAAGCATACATGGTGGCCAGAGAAGGAAACTGAGAAGTCACATCCTGAACTAAACATCAAAGCAGAGAGCAGCAGGAAATAGGACCAGGCTGTCTTAGCTCAAAGCCCATCACCAGTGACACTTTCCCAGCAAGGCTGCACTTAAACCTCCCCAAGAGCTCCAACAACTGGGATCCAAGTATTCAAATCCTGAGCCTGCGGGGGACATTTCTCCTTCAAAGCACTGCACTCTGAGGATGTATCTCAGTTGATAGAGTGCTTACCTAGTATGCACGAGGCCCTGGGTTTGATCCCCAGCACCGTGGGTCTGGTGCTGTGCCTGTAAATCCCAGCACCTGAGAGGTGGAGTATGGGAGGATTAGGATTCAAGGTCATTCTCAGCAACATAGTAAGTAAGTTCAGGATCACCCGTGACTTCATTGAGACACCATCTCTAAAAAACAAATAGGAGCAAATGAATTTAAATAGGAATAGATGTAAAATAATGTGTGTGTGTGTGTGTGTGTGTTTCAAGAAGATTAGTTATACATGCACACGGCTACCCTCAAACTAAAACAGCAGCATGGGTGAGAAAAAATTGGTTTTAGATAAATGGAAGTGAAATGAAGCTAAGAAGCCTTGGTAGCAAACTCACATAAGCTCCATAGTATCTTCAGTGTTTGTAATAAATGTATGCCAAGTGTGAACAGAGATATTGTAGGGTCCAAAGCACTCCTAAGGGAAAGGATGGGGATTCCAGAGTTACTTTCAACTGGCTTTATTATATTCAGTAGTTTAGGTTGCATTGGTATGAAATTAAGAAGAACATCTTCATGGCTATCTTCAAATGTTGTTACTCCATGTGGCTGCATATTATCAAAGAATAGCCATTGGAAAGTAGATTTCAGCTCAGTGTGAGAGGGAGTTTTATGTTGATTAGTGCTACATAAAGAAGTGGCCTTGTCGACTAGAGATAGGCTGTTCTGCCATTTCTTGTTTTGTTTGGCGTGGGTGACCCTGCCAGGGGTATTTATTTTTGGAGTAGTGTGTGCATGTAGTAATAGTTTCTTTTTTTTTTTCCACAAATGATCAGGACAAAGTTGTTTTCCTTTAAGGCAGTGATTCTCGACCTGTGGGTTTCAACCCCTTTGGAGGGGTCAAATGGCCCTTCCCCAAGGGCTGCATATCAGATATTTAGAGTATAATTCATAACAGAGGCAAAAATTATAGAGTAGCAGCAAAAATAACTTTTCGTCGGGAGTCACCACAACATGAGGAACTGTGTTAAAGGGTCACAACATTAGGAAGGTTGAGAACCACTGCTTTAAGGGGACTTGGAAGAAAATAGACTTTACAAACAGAAGTCTTGTTTTTTACATTAGAGATGTCTTGGGGCAAGCTGACTTTACAACAGAAGGCTGGGGTAACCGTGCAGTGCCTGTGATAGTGTGTCTCCACGAGTGAGACCCTGCTTTCATTCTGTGCCTCAAGTGTGTCTCACTGGACTTCCCCTTCCCAAGTCAGCATGTTTGCTCAGTTGCTCTAGCAAAAGGTGTGTTGGTGAGAGGGCAGGGTATCTTTATAGCAAGGATAGGGCTGTCAGAGGAACATTTCACCTGAAGAAGGAGAGAAGGATGCCTTTCTCAAGGGATACTTATGGCTGCCGTCATGAAATGAGGTAACTGTTCTGCAAGTCTCCTGGGAATAGTACTGTTTTTTAAGAATATGTATATTGTAATCGAGGGGCCAGGAAAGGGGTGATAGAAGACTGAAGCAGGGTATGTAGTGGGAGACTGTAGTTAGGCACAGAGACCCCTTGGCTGTGGGCAGCTAGAATCATGAAGACGCTGCACTGAGTGAGATGCTGGACAGTGTGTGCCTGGGGATCTGTTTTGCTCAGTTCAGAATTTGCTACAAGGCAGCATCTCATGCGTAAAATGTGTCTGTGGGAATGTGCTGTTCTTGTTAGGAATGGCTAGCCTTGATTCTATGATAATAGGATGTATTTGAAGTGCTCTGGAGCTGTGGGAGCGGGGAACAAGGTGATTGGTGTTTCCTAAAAGCTGCATATTGTAACTGCCGTGCTTGCTGTTTGACTCTCTTTGTAGGTGAGCACTCTTGGAGAAAGAGTGGTTCTGTATGTTCTCAACCGAGTTATTTATAGAAAACAGGAAATGGAGAGAAATGAGATCCCATTCCTATGCCATAGCAGTACTGACTATGCTAAGATTCTGTGGAAGAAAGGAGAGGCTGTTGGGTTTTACTCAGTTAAGCCTACAGGTGAGTTTTACAAGTTACTTAAACTGTGTTACAGAAATCTCCATTTTGACCCCCAGCTGTGTCAGTGTCTTAAATCAACCCCTAGAGTGCAAATTGAGATGCTTGCACTTAGGATTTCTTGGGAGTATCATAGTTCTACTGTCCGAGAGAGAGGATTGTTAGGAAAGTCTTTTGAATAGTAGAGACTAGACCTTAGACACAGCAGATGACCTTTCTGTGTTTGAGAGAAGATTGTCATTTCACCTTAGTCTTTGTAGCCTTGGACCTCCTTCTATTTGAAGGCCGCTGCTTTGATTTCTGCTGCTATTCCTATTACTGATTAAACCCCCATGGCCTACAGGCGTTATCATTTCTACTTAGGATGCCCAGAATAAATACAGATTTATTTTTTTAGTTTTGGTTTTTTTGAGGAAGGGTCTTAACTCTTACTTTGACGTTCAGGCTGAGTCTTGAGTATACTGTTCTTTATTTGATGTGTTTTTTTGGTGCTCCCTTCTCTTCTGGGACCTGGGCTCTCTGCTCTTGCTATTCTGGAGTTGGCTCCATTTTAAACCCTAGAGCTGTGAGGTGCTACTGCAACTCTCCTAATTTCAGCATTTCCCATTCTTTCTAATAGCTCCGTCTCTATCTCCCTCTGCTGGGTAGTAGTAGATTTGAGTGTTTATGAATGATAGCCTTCAGATAAGTAGTAACTGTATTTCAAGAGTGCTTTTTTCTAAAGGAAACTGAAGTGTAACTAAAATTATTCTGAGATATTGTCTCAAAGAAAAACTAAAATACTCTCACCTTTCTTCTCATTTTCTTTCCTTCCCCAAGTACATAAAGATGCACCTGTAGCTAGATACACGTGTGTGTGTGTGCGGACACACACACTTGCATGCTCGCATGCCTCAGTGGACAATTTGTGGGAGTCAGTCCTTTCAGCTTGTGGGTCTTAGGGATAGCACTCAAGTTGGCCTTGGCAGCAAGCACCTTTAACTTCTGAGCCACCTCACTGGACCCTAAGTTCTTTACTACATAAATGCATAGTTAAATGAAGCCTTTTGTAGTAATTTATTACTTGATTTTTATTAGCAGCTTTGGTGGAAGACAAAAGAACTTGTTCTGAGGAGGTCAGAGTTTTCACAACATAGTGACTGACACCCAAGAAACCAGAAATTATTTTTTTGCTAACTGCCCTAGCACTCGGGAGGCAGAGGCAGGCAGATCTGTGAGTTTCAGGACAGCCTGGTCTACAGAGTGAGTTCCAGGACAGCCTCCAAAGCCACAGTGAAACCCTGTCTCGAAAAAACCAAACCAAACCAAACAAACAAACAAAATAGCTAATGTTTATCTGACTTAAAAGTATGAAGAATGATCATCACCTAATCTGTTTGGCATTCACATCGTGCAGTGTGGGAAAGGCAAACCCATGCAGACCCTTCTTTGAGATGCTGACTGGTTTTAGGATGGCAAAGGAATACCTTCCTGGAGGACAAAGAAGGGGTCCGTGAGAAGAGGAAGCTGCTCTGTGTGACAGAATAAATTTGTGATGCCCACCCTTAGATCTTGAATAGCATCATTGAAGAGCAGTTATTCATGTTAATTTTAGGTGTCAGAGATGAGAAAAAGGGAAGGGAAGAGGAAGGGAAAAGAATAAGAGGGACAAGTTGAGAATAATAAAATTTTTGTAAGCTCCATCCTCGAGGAACTTAGATTTTAGAGGAAGAGAGGGTAAAGAACACGAGTGTGGGGGAGGTGCTGCTTTAAATCGAAGGGTTAGGGAAGCCTTTCTGAATGAACTGATGGAGTAACAGGAAGTGGGAAGTGTCTGAAGAGACTCTCAGGCAGAAACTGACAGGTCTGAATGCTTCAGAAATTGCAGATAGCTACCAAGCTTGGTTAATAGAGAGTAAGTGATAGAATTTGGAAAGGGTAAAGGTTGTATCTTGAAAAGTCTCTAGGCCTAAGAAGGTTAATTCTCTGTGGTGAAGGGAAGTTGTGAAGGGATTTCTGGATGGAGGGTAACCATCCTACCTGCTATCTTAACAGGGAATCTAGATACAGGGTGCCCAGAGTGGGCAAGTATTCTGTTTAGTCTGGAGAATGACCTGCAATAGTCATACGTTGAGTTTACCTTTTATTTTATATGTATGAATGTTTTGCCTGCATGTATGTATGTATGTATACTATGTATGCGCCTGGTGCCCATACAGGTCAGAAGAGGGAGTCAGGTCCAGTGGAACTAGAGTTACTGGATCGTTACGAATGAAGCACCATATGGGTGCTGCGAATTGAACCCAGGTCCTTTACAAGAGCAAATGTTCTTAACCACCCATCTATCTCTACAGCCCCATACTTTTGGTTTTGAATGAGTTTATTAAGTACATAGCAAGCCACAGTAAGATAGATAATAGTAAATCATAGATAGCAAAACTTCATTAAATAATTGTACAAATCAATTGAGAAAGCCGCATGGAGGCAGGTAGTTAAGAGTGTGTCTTGACAGTGAGTGTCCCATGCCACACTCCCTCCCTCCTTGAGACTTCCAAGTAAAAGAACAAATAACAGCTAACATGTAAAGTCATTAAGTCTATCAGAAGCCCAATGGGGCAGCCTCGTTAAGGCAGCCAGCTAGAGTTCCAGATTAAAACAGTCCCTGGCAGAGCAGAGTCTCCCAGGAAGATTCCCAACAGATAGCGATGACATTGACAAATCTAGTCCTCACAGTAACCAGCTGAGCCCAACTGGGGAAGCTGAGACAGTCAGCTGGAATTCCTTGTTGAGCTTTCTCTCCAGGGAGGGGATGTGCTGCGCATGGCTGAGCTTCCAACTTCTCTTCCCCTCTTACATCATGGGATAAACAATAGTGACACTGTTGGAAATAGTTTACCTTTTTAAGCTGGATTTAAAAACACGATGAAACCCTTGGGCTTTTTTGTTTTCTCCCCTCCCTGTCACAGAGTTGCTTTTTTGGGGTGGGAGGGGCATCTACAGACAAGGGCCTTAGAGGACCTTTGAGACAGACTGAAATGAGGCAGGACTGGAGTCAGCTCTACCCAGAGCCAGCTTCTTTCTCAGTAAGCAGAAAGGGCTCCTGACAGCTTACCAGTACAATGCATGTTAGTAAGGTTGACAGTTCAGTGAAGGCTGGTTGAACAGTGTTTTTGCCCTGGGCAAAGGAAACAAGGCCCCAGGTTTGTTACTATTACTGCTTCAGGATTTTTGATCGTTGTTGTGCTCAGTGTAGAAAGAACCTGGGTGACTAACTGGACACATGAGTGGTGAGACTCACTGAGAAAGTGAGAAAATAGATAAACTTGAGGAAATGTATTTTCAGACTGTCTCTATAGGGTTTGGTTATAAACGGTATACATCAAATGTGTAAACTACTATTTATATTTGAAATAACATTTTTGTATATTTACCCATCTCAAATGCATAGTATTTCACCAGTTTTAGATAATTTTTATTGCTGCAGAAGACAGAACTGTATATAACAGGAGTCACTCCCATTTCCAGCCTTTGCTAACCATTAATTAATCTAGACCGTATACCATGTGGCTCTATCTAGCCTTTTGGGGGCTTAATATTCTTTTTCCAAGTCTCATATATATTGTAGTATGTATCAGTACTTAAAAAAAAACTTATTTATTCATTATACCTGTATTGTTTTGTTTGCATGTGTGTATGTGCATCCTTGTATGTCTTGTGCTCCAAGAGGAAGAGGGCATTGGATCCCCAGAACTAGAGTTATGGAAGATTGTTAGCCATCATGTGGGTGCTGGGAACCAAACCCAGCTTCTGTGCTGAGCCATCTCTCCAGCTCCAGCACTTCATTTCATATGACCAAGTACTATTTCCTGGTATAGTGCTCTAGTCAGACTTGCTCTTGCTGTGACCACATACTTGAACAAAAGCAACTGAAGGAAGATTCATTTTTGACTCATGGTTTTAGCAGTTTTAGTCCATGGTAGAGACAAGGAGGAGGTTAAGCTTATATCTAAAGATAGTAATAATGTATACATACTGAAATGGAATGAGCTGTTTGTCCTTTATTACTTAACTATTGGCAAACATAAAATAACATCTATTCTTAATATCACATGTATACATTAGAGTGTACAATAAAAGTTGTAATATACTTTATGTTATAGAATTTATGCATTTCTTTGATGTGCTTCTTAACATAAGGGAAAAAAACTATTCAGAAACATTAACTCGTATTTACTAAATATACATGTAGTTTAATGTATACAATTCTTTGGTTTCTCTTACTACTGCAGGAAGCTTATGTGCCTCATTTCTTACTCAGAGTTACCAACTGCCAGTTCTTGATACAATGTTTATAAGAAAGAAATACAGAGGAAAAGATTTGGGACTTCACATGCTGGAGGACTTCGTTGATTCCTTTACAGAAGAAGCGCTTGGCTTGCGGTACCCGCTGTCTTCTCTCATGTACACAGGTAAGTGTACATTTCACTTCTGTCACTTCTTGCATGAAGATAGATCCTATAGGTAGGATAGGCTACATGTTTTATTTTAAGAGCCTAGGGGAGGGTCTAGGGTGGCAAGTGCTTTTAACAGTTAAATTGTTAGTACAGGGGTCACCTAGGTTATTAACCATTTCTGGTCCTGTATGTGGGAGCCAGAAATAGCCTAGCACTACAGGTAGCACAGAGGTCGCCTAGCCTGTTAACCACATTAGTTCCCAGCCTTCTGACCAGAAAATAGGTTATACATCTCTTCCTTTGGATAGACAACCCTGTGCGTTCAACATCCCTGGTATCCCCAGTGCTTAACCCAGTGCAAGGACCTCTGTGCCCCTACACCCAGTTATCAGACACAGGTCATCTACTTGTGCATTTATTTACACTAACTCATATTCTCTTGTTAAAATGGAATTTAACAACTCCTGGGGTTATTTGCACTCTGAAATCTAAGCACTGTTTAATCATCTGAGCATAGGGTAAGTGTTGGAGAGAGGCTTTTCATTAGGTTCTGACCTTTCCCGCCCTTACTCCACCTCTTTAATAAACTGCCCTTTAGAAGCAAGCCCTGCATGCTTGACTGCCTTCATTCATGTGTGCGTGCCTGCATGCTTGACTGCCTTCATTCATGTGTGTGTGCCTGCATGCTTGACTGCCTTCATTCATGTGTGCATGCCTGCATGCTTGACTGCCTTCATTCATGTGTGCATGCCTGCATGCTTGACTGCCTTCATTCATGTGTGCGTGCCTGCATGCTTGACTGCCTTCATTCATGTGTGTGTGCCTGCATGCTTGACTGCCTTCATTCATGTGTGTGTGCCTGCTTGACTGCCTTCATTCATGTGTGCGTGCCTGCTTGACTGCCTTCATTCATGTGTGTGTGCCTGCATGCTTGACTGCCTTCATTCATGTGTGTGTGCCTGCATGCTTGACTGCCTTCATTCATGTGTGTGTGCCTGCTTGCTTGACTGCCTTCATTCATGTGTGTGTGCCTGCATGCTTGACTGCCTTCATTCATGTGTGTGTGCCTGCATGCTTGACTGCCTTCATTCATGTGTGCGTGCCTGCTTGCCAGCCCGCCACATGTGTGCTAGTGCCTGTGGATGCCAGAAAGGACATTGGGTCTCCTAGTTGTAAGCCACAGAACATGGCTGTTGAGATCCAAACTCAGGTACACTGGAAGAGTAACAAGTGCCCTTAACAGCTGTTTCCAGCACTTTTCAAGTTTTGTACCAATATTTTATATTGTTTGTTATAGGAAGTTTTCATCCTGTTTGTTAAATTTATTTCTAGGTATTATTGTAAGGCTCTTGTAAATCAGGTCGTTTTTCTGATTTCTATTTCTAATAATCTGACATTAGTGGACCTGGGAACATGGTTTAGTGAATAAGGACACTTGCTTTGAAGGTAAAAAAAAATGCAAATTCCCAGTATGGGTATAAAAGTTGGACATTGATGTAAGTGCCTGCATTTGAGAGTTGGAGATGGGGAGATGGCCAGCTTTGCCAAAATTGTGAGCTTTGAGTTCAGCAAGAATCCTCCGCCCCAGGGGGCTGGAGGGATTGCTCAGAGGTTAAGAGAACCGACTTCCAGAAGTCCTGAGATCAATTCCTAGCAACCTCATGGTGGCTCACAACCATCTGTAATGAGATCTGATGCCCTCTTCTGGCCTGCAGGCATACATGCAGACAGAATACTGTATACATAATAAATAAATAAATAAACCTTAAAGCTGGGCGTTGGTGGCTCACACCTTTTTTAATAAAAGGAAAAAAAACCCACCTCCCCCATTCCCCATCCCCCGATTATAATGAAACAGTGATAGAGGACAATACAAACATCTTCTGGTTTCTGCATGAGTAGGTGCATGTACTCAGACTGCATGTGCTTGTACTTAACACATTCACACACCACACACACTCCATCCAAGAGTAAATGGTCCATAAATTAATAAATAAATAGGAGCTGGAAAGATGGCTCAGTAATTGAAAGCATTAGCTGCTCTTCCAGAAGACTTGTGTTTGATTCCCAGCACTCACATGGTGGCCCACAAACCATCTGTAACTCTAGTCCTATGGATCTTATTCTCTCTCTTCTGGCCTCCATGGGCAGCAGATAGACACATGGTACACAGACAGACAGACAAGCAGATGCCTATACACATAAAACAACTACATTAACAATAGTTTTCCATTTCTGTGTAGCCGCACTAATGATTTTTGTATGTTGATTTTGTGTTTTGCAAGTTTACTGTATCTTCTAACATAGAATTGAACAAAACTTGTATCACTGAGGAATTAGAATTTTCATTTATAGGTTTTTAGTCCTTGATTAAAATTTTTTTTGAAAAACAGACTTAGAAGGAAGCTTAAGAATCAAACTTTAGAATCTAAGAGAAAAACCACAGGATTGCCACGCAGCTGCTGGGAGGAGACAGATGGAGAAAAGGAGTGACAGTCAAGCCTTTAGAGTAGGGTCAGCAATGGAGATGTGCGAGCAGCCGCAGCGAGGGCAGAGGGTGTGCAGAGAAAACCGTTGAGAGATCATCAGGAGAGTATGCTTGGCACATGCAGGACAGTCTTGGTGTATGAGGGTGACCTTGGGTTAGAATTCCTCTTGCTCCAAGAACTACTTTCCGTATTCCAGCCCAGTGGCATAGCCTTATGGTTTGAGGGAAGGACTGGAAAATGCTCAGTTACAAATCAGTCTATGAATTCACACTAGGGATTTATAATTTATTCACATGATAAAATAGTATCGTGTGAACTGCTAATACACAGATTAGACAAATTTGACAGAAATTTGTTTTTTAAATGAGAATGACATATAGGTTGAGCATGCCTCACCAAAATGAAAATGCTCCAAGTCTGGAACTTAATAAGCATGTATCACTCAAAAAAGTTTCATAGCATTTTAAAATTTCAAATTAAGTATAGCCCATGCAAGTCTTTAAAATATGAAAAACTCTGGGATATTAGCATTTCAGATAGCTCTCAAAATAGCAAAAAGGAGAGAGGAAAGAGGTGCCCAGGCCATTCAGTGAGGTAGCATAACCACACTCCAAAAACGTGAGCAAGGGAACTCACTGAGAGTATGTATGCAGTGGTCTCAGGTATTAATTCTCTTGATGCTGGAGATGCTGGCTTTGTGGTTAAGAGCATATGCTCCTCTTCAGGGAGTTTTGTACAGGGCATTATATATGTACAATTCATCTTCCTTTGAAGCTGTTTGTAGCCCCCTTCCCCTTTTCCTTTGCTCTCGACATAGTTGCACTCCTGAGGTCAGTGCATGCTTCTTTCTCGTGATGTCATATTTGCATATCACAACTTTAAAAAGCACAGTGTGTTTTCTTGTAACGTGTAGTCTTCCTGCCAGCCTCCTCGGCCCTGCCAAGCTGTTTGAACCACCACATAACACACAGTACGCTATATCAATTATGAAGCTATTAGCTGTTTGCTTGGTTTCTTACTGGCTAGCTCTGACTTAAGTATTTAACCCATAATTGTTAATCTAAGTATTTCTCTTACCAGAAAAAAGGGTCTGGACCTCTTACTCCTCTGGCGGCCTACATCATGTCTGCCTGTGTCTCTCTTTCTCAGAATCCTCTACTCCTAGTCCCACCTATCTTGCTTCCCTATTGGCCAACAGTGCTTTATTCAAATCAATCAGATACATATTTACAGAATGGCGTCTCCCAACACTTTCTGATTGTTTTTATTTTAACCACTCTTTACAATTGTGATGCTAATTTTCACTTATAAGTACACACTTTGGTGGTATTGTATTCAGTATTGTATTTTCATCATCCCTATATCCAAAACTTTTTCTCATGCTAACATGGAGTGCCTTTTGGTAACGTCTTCTGCCTTGTGTTCCTTATGAAGTACCTGTTCTAGCTAGGTCACCTAAGTGGAATCAAGTTGTTCTTGGTCTCTTGTTTATGACTTATTTTGACAAACTATGAAATGTTTTCCTCTACCATTTTGTGGAGTATGATTTAAACTTCACACAATTACGTCCTTTTATACATGCATTGTACTTACATTCTGTAGATTTATCACTTAAAATTCTTACTTGGAATTTTGTAAGATTTTTTACCTTTTTGAAGATACATTATTTTATGTGTATGAATGTTTGGCTGTATCTATGCACCATGTGAGTGCCACTTAGTACCCGTGGAGGCCGGAAGGGGGCATTGGATCTACTGAAATTGGAGTTAAAAATGCTTGTGAGCCATGATATGGGTGCGAGGAACCACGCTCAGGTCCTCTGGAAGATCAGCTAATGTTCTGAACCACGAAGCCAGTATCTCCAGCATCAAGTTTACTTGTACCTGAGACTGCTGCATACTCTCTGTGAGTTCCCTTGGTCATGTTTTTGGGGTGTGGTTATGCTACCTCATTGAATGACTTAGCCACCTTACTTTCCTCTCCCTTTTTTTGCTATTTGAGATTTCTAGGAAATTATTAATTGTGTTTTTCAGCTTCCAAGCAATACTTTGAAAAGTATCCGGGGGACCATGAGCTTCTTTGGGAAGTTGAAGGGGTGGGTCATTGGCATCAGCGGATACCAGTCACCAGAGCATTACAGAGAGAAGCAATTAAAGTCACAGGTAAGACTAATAGACTATGGGACACTTTTAAAAGCAGCAGCTGATAGTGCTGGTGTTTTAAACCTCAGCAATGTTAGGACCTTTTTGGTTGCAGACCCTCTTTTAAAGTTTTTATTGTGCTCTTCTTCTGAGTCACTAATAAAAAGTAGAGGATGGCGGGGTGCTGGAGAACTAGGAAACACTTGTTCTTGTAAAGGACTGGGTTCAGTTCCCAGTACCCACATGGTAGCTCACAGCTGTCTGCATAACTCAAGTTCCATGGCATCTGGCACCCTCTTTTGACATCCTTGGGCACCAGGTACACACATGGTGTACACACACACACACACACACACACACACACACACACACACACACACACACACACACACACATACACACACACACACACCACACGCGCAAAATATTCATGCACATTAAATAAGTCTAAAAAATAAAATTAAAAAACAAAAACAGACCTTGACTAGCCCAAATAATGAACTATCTCAGTAGGAATTGGGAGCAGAAAATCAGTGTATTCATGAAGTTTGGACTATGCTTTGTGAACGAAAGGACTGGGCATAAGATACTTTAAAGGATGCCAGGCATTGGTGGCACACACCTTTAATCCCAGCACTCGGGAGGCAGAGGCAGGCGGATCTCTGTGAGTTCGAGGCCAGCCTGGTCTACAGAGTGAGTTCCAGGACAGCCTCCAAAGTCACAGAGAAATCCTGTCTCGAAAAACAACAACAACAAAAAAAAAACAGCAACAACAACAACAAAACAAACAAACAAACAAAAAAGATACTACAAAGGAGATATAGCACGCTATATTATTGATTCCTTTTTGTTTGTGCTGCTCTTAAAAGTTGATGAAAACCATTAGATACTATTAAATTGAAAACCAAATATGATTGGTAAATAATTGTAATTTTTTTTCCTGCTTACAGAGATTTCTCAATATGAAGCTAAAAGACCTGTGTCTGGAGACTATGGTCTTGCTTCTGTACCAGAATATGAACCTGGAATGGAAGACGATCAGTCTAGTGAGATGCAGGTACACTCTTTGACCATTATAGGAAATAGTAATGTTTTTATGTCCTGTGTTTTGTTTTATTGTTTGGATGATCATGAACATTGAACATGAGGCCTTATTTGTGCTAGGCAAATGTTTTACCACTGAGTTACATCTCCAGCCCAGCCATACCTTTTGCGACCCCCGGGAAGGGACCCCCGACCCGCGGGGGTGAGGTGATGAGGGTCGCTACTAATTTGGTGGGCCTTCACGAGCAGATCCGATCTGGAAAGTGAACTTCAAGAGGTTAATGGAATCAGGCTCAAGACAACGTTCGCTGATCAAGAGCCTTTATTTTTTGGGGCACGCTGGAACTTATAGAGGAAGGACCTCAGGGGGTGGTACAAGCATGTCAATCAAGTCTCAATTCAAATATACACCAAATACGGTAAAGACAAAGCTGTAATTTTCCATCAGTCATTAGTTGCATTCCACAAATGCTTGTCAGTGTAAGTCAGGTGCAGGAATTAGGGAGGGGTAGGGAGTGTACAACAGAACACTATAATCTTGTTAACAAAGACAATTGCTCTGTAAGGGTACTTCTCCCTGGCTAGGCGGGTGGGCTGCCCTGTGTAAATTTAACTTTTATGGTTAGCCTTTTCCTTTGTCTCAAGGGCATGTGTGCTCGCAGTCCCGTAGGCAGAAGGCCAAGAAACGGTTGACAGACTCCATTTTGTTCAAGGTTCTAGCAGTCCCCAACAACTTTTGACTTTTTATATTGAGGTAGGTCTCACCATATTGCTTAGGTTAGTTTATAATCTAGCCTGACCTTGAACTTGAAAATAGCCTCAGCCTCATGAGTAGCTCAAATTGTAGGTTTGCACTTCAAGGCCCAGTTAAAGTTTCAGATGTTACAGATTATTCAACAAATTTAGGTAATTACAGTTGCATTCATCTTGGTGACTTCTGATTATTAAAGATGTAATGCTTTTTAAAAAGTATTTTTTGGAAAAATATTTTTCTTTTTTTAACTTCAGAAACACTCCTATTTACATATTCATCCTCCAATTCCCTCATCCTACCATCCTCCCATGCTTCCCACCGACCCCGCCAACCCACCCACCACCCACTCCCCGGGGATAATGAGGTCCTCCACAGGGGATGATCAAAGTCCATCACATCATTTGGGGGAGGGCCCAGGCCCTCCTTTCTGTATCTGGTCCGCAGTAGTATCCCTCCATAGAGAATGGGTTCCCCAAGTCCATTTGTGACCTAGGAGTAAACCCTGGTTCAACTATTAGAGGTTGCATAGACTGCCTTGGCCTCCTAGCTGGTACCCACATTCAGAGGGCTTGGTTTGGTCCAATGCTGGTTCCCCCGCTTTATGACTAGGGTCTGCATGCTCTCATTAAGTTAGGTCCTGTTTCTGTGGGTATCTCCAGTTCTGTCTTGGTTCATTGGGTTGTCTCTCCTCCCTCTCCACAACTGGATTCCGGGAGTATGGCTCAGTGCTTAGCTGTGGGTGCCTGTTTCTGCTTCAATCAGCTACTGGGTCAAAGCTCTAGGAATGGTAACCAAGGTAGTCATCAATCTCATTATAGGGGAAGGGCTAGAAAAAATATTTTTTTTCCGTTTTTTTTGAGACAGGGTTTCTCTGTATTGTTTTGGAGGCTGTCCTGGAGCTTACTCTGTAGACCAGGTTGGTCTCAAATTCACAGAGATCTGCCTGCCTCTGCCTCCCCAGTGCTGGGATTAAAGGCATGTGCCACCAACGCCCAGTGAAAAAATATTTTTAATAACATCTACAGTATTATACATTAATGAAAGCTATGTATACATATAAAGGGAAAATACTATTTCATAAATTATTAGCTATTGTTAATTTTTTGTAGTATACTTGATACATTTACATTTCATGTCTTAATTGACATGAATTGACTAAGGATAGCATAAGTAATAAAACACTGAAAAGTCAGTTTTTGTGTATATTTCTATGTTTAGAAATTCATAGTGTCTGTTGTTTTTCTTCCTTTTGATTATCAAGACAGGGTTTCTCTGTAGCTTTGGAACCTGTCCTGGAATTTGCTCTGTAAACCAGGCTCGCCTGGAACTCACAGAGATCCACCTGCCTCTGCTTCCTGAGTGCTGGGATTAAAGGCGTGTGCCACCAATGCTTGACTTAAAGCCTAATAATTTTAAATGTCATTTGAATGAGAATATATTGTAGTGGCAATGTATCATAAGGTTAATAGCATAACTCGTATTTTCTGTCATTTTTGAAGTTTTTATTCTTTATACTGCCTTTTTAAAAAAGATTGTTTATTTAATATGTATACAGCATCCTGTTTGCTTGTATGCCTGCAGGCCAGAAGAGGGCACCAGATCTAATTACTGACGGTTGTGAGCCAACCTGTGGTTGCTGGGAATTAAACTCAGGACCCCTCGAAGACTAGTCAGTGTTCTTAACCACTGAGCCATCTCTCCAGCCGCTCTTCATACTACTTTTAATATTTTAGTTCAAGGAAAAAATATGTAATCACTTAATCTTATTTTTTGACTATTACGGTGGGTGGTATTTTGCTTGCTTTCGCATATTTGTGTACATGAAACATTACATATGTTTATCTCATACCATTTTTCTTTTCTAGTTGAACTACATACTTTGTGAGGGCAAGATTTTTATTATGTATTTACCACAGTTAACTCCTTTATAGTCTATAATTAGACTTTAAAACTTCAGTTAACATGTAATATGCTTATAACAGTGGGGCATTTCATTATGTACATTATGTAATGGTTTGATCAGGATCATTTGCATATCCATTGCCTCAGAACATTTGTCATTTCTTTTACTGTCGACTTTCAGATTCACATAGCTCTACCAGCTGTTCTGAAATACAGGATGAACTTTTTCAACTCTAACTAGATCTTTTGACATGTGGATCTACCGTGTCGTAGTTCAGTAATTGTGTAATGGGTGAATGAGTTGGTGACACTGTGTAATGGAGTAGATATCAGAGCAAGAGTTCAAAGGTAGCTGTGTGGTTTTTTGAATGCATGAGAGAACTAAATGACCCATTGTTGGAAACATAAATAAATTGCACGGTAATAATTGCCTTAGTTACTGTAGCAAGTGATTGAAAGCCCGGGATAACTTAATGGGCAGAAGGATCTCATGACATTGTAGAAAATAGCATGTGAAAGAAACAAGAGACAATTCAGAAATGGCATACTCAATATGGAAGTAAGGAATTATCGAAAAGTTTTTTACTTTGTATTCTATACAGTGGTAAGGTGTTTATTTAGAGGAATTGCACAGTTTAATTAGGAAGCATTATTTATTGGGTGTAAAGTATAGATAGACTGTAATTAAAGTGTGGTACTTGACCAGGGACAAAGCTATTTGGAATGTTCAGATTTAAGATAATGAAGGCCTGGGCAAAAGCAATGGTGATAGGAAAGGATAGTTCTGCGAGAACCTTCATTTAAAATCAGCAAGCTTTGTGATTGGTTGAGGGACAGGAAGGACTCATTGCTATTTCACAGGTCTTTGCTGAAATGACCATAATTGCTGTCGCCATTAATGTAGATAAGGAATAAAGTTGGGAATGCTTGCTTTGGAAATGAAGGTGGGAATTGGGGCACTTTACTTGTATGTTTGGATTCATCAGCAATAGCTATCAAAGTGAAGATAGTATGCAAAAAATGCCAGGAGAGCTGGTAACTGTGGCCAGAATTCCAAGACACTCACAGGTAAACCTGTAACATTTCAGACCCTTAGATGAATTCTTAGGCTTATGATGAACCAAGGGTTATAACGTAACACTTTAATTTTAAAGGTAGATGTCTCAACAAAAAGGACTATTTGTGAAGAGTTAATTATTTTTCTTTGAAACTGTGAATGAAATAGTTCCATAGAGAGAAAGGATAGGTAAAGTTAAAACATTACATTTTAATCTTTTCTCTATTTTAGATCCATTCCATAAAGGATGCCTTTGCTAGCACTTCTGAAGGTAAGAAAGCCAGCCGTTCTCTCAGTAAGTGTTCTCATGCCACTACTACCCCTGGTTTTATTGTGTGTGAACACTGAGGGTGCTGCGGAACCCCTCCTCCAATTACATAGGGATTGCAATGTCTGCGTCATTCCCTAAAATCAGTCAGAGAACATGAATGAAAACGCAGAAACACAGTAAACCTCAGGATAATGTAGAAATATGTGGAGTGAAACTTGGCAGTTTTTCTATAATGAAAGCAAATGCTGACATTGCTTTCTTAGCTTGATCTGAAGGAAGGAGTAAAACTGTATGACGGGGCAGTGGGTGGCTAATCTGGTGTAGCTGTTGCATTTCTGTGCGCTTTAACAGGTAGTCCTTCCCATACGTAGTCAAGTGCAGTTTTACCGTTTGCCCTCAGGTCCAGAAAAGACTCCTGTTTCCACTCGAACTCGAAGTAGTCATCTAAAGCGACCAAAGATTGGAAAGCGGTTTCAGGATTCTGAATTTAGTAGTTCTCAGGGTGAAGATGAAAACACTGCTCAGACTTCACCTATGGCTTCAATAAACAAGTAAGGAAGGAAGGATTTTTTTCACTCACGTTTCGTGTATTGTCACTTCCATACTGTTGCTGTCTGGTACTGAAGGTGGAATTGCTTTATCAAGTGTCCTCCTGGAGGGTTAGCATCTGAACAGTGTGATGGGAAGCATAGCCAGTAAGAGCCTGGAATAAACTCACGATGGAACCTTCCGAGTGTGCAAATCCAGAATATTCTAGTCTGTGTACTATCCTAAAAGACTCATTATCGTCAACTTTGAATGTGATAGGATACTAATGTCAGTAATTCTGATGCTTGAAGTCTATTTTTTTAATCAGTTACTTAATAATGAATCTACTTTACCCAGGCTACTGGATATAATTTATGAGTTAGTAATAACCTTAACTAGTACAGTCAATATTTCCAGAACCTTGGCAGTCCACAGAATTAGCAGAACTCTTGGTAAAAGTTTGATCTTCAGATCAGATGTGGTGAGTTCTGCCTGTAATCCCATTGCTTGGGAGGCTGAGATGTGAGGATTACTGAGAGTCTGAGGCCAGCTTGTCTGTATGACAAGTGTCTCTCTGAGAAAAGTGAAATTGGCAAAAAGCGTTTCCTTGAAGCTATGTTCCAGCTTTTGGAGGAGGGTTTCACATGGTCTGAAACTTGCTATGTGACTGTTTCTTTCCGTCTCTACCTTTGAAGGCTGGGATTACAGGCATGTACCACAATATCTTGTTTATGTGCTGTACAGGGGTCAAAACCAGGGCTTTGTATGACCTAGGCTGTACTGAGCCATCTTTGTAGCCCCTTATGAGTGTCTGATAGAAACCAAGATTTTATATTTAATGTAACGACTTTTTATTTGTGAATTTTTTTCTCCCTTTGAGACAGGGTTTCTCTGTGTCCTGGCACTCACTCTGTAGACCAGGCTGGCCTCAAAATCAGAGATCCACCTGCCTCTGCCTCCTGAGTGCTGGAATTGAAAGTGCGCACCACCACTGCCCGGCTTGAATTTTTAAGATGTTTATGTATGTGTGTGATTTTGTGTGTGTGACTGTGAGCACATGCAGAATTCAGAAGAGGGCTCTGGGTCTCCCTTTCGTCACTGTCCACCTAACCCTTTGAGGTCAGTAGAACTTTATAAGCAGAATTAGGAGAGACAGTTTCAGGGCCCACTGGCTGTGCTCTACAGGCACAATCTAAACTCAACCACAGAAATCTGCCAGTCTCTGCCTCCCGAGTGCTCAGATTAAAGGTGAGCACCACCACTGCCTGGTTCACAGATGTTATTTCATATGTGAATGCTGTATTTACATCATCTATACCCTCCCTCTCCCCTTGCAACTCTCGTGTCCCCACCAACTCTTATCATGACCTTGGGGGGATTATTGCCATTCAGACCACCACATTCCACTCCCTGATCACCATAGGCTTGTGGTCATATCATAGTACAAAATGTATCTAATCCAACTTCAAAAGTCACCGTAATTATCAGTGTCTGTAATTTAGAAGGCCAAAGTTCAAAGTCTCTCTGAGACTCAAGACAGAAAATTCCAAATCCTGTAGCTCTGTCTCTTGTTCTCTCTCCCTCTCACTCTCCCTCCTCTCCCTTTCTCACCCCTCCTCTCCCTTCCCTCTTCTCTCCCCTCTCCTCCTTTTCCCTCCCTCCCTCTTTTCTGTAGCTTTGGAGCTTTTCCTGGAACTCACTTTGTACACTAAGCTAGCCTTGAACTCAGAGATCTGCCTGCCTCTGCCTTCCAAGTACTGGGACTAAAGGTGTGTGCCACCACTGCCTAGCTCCTTTTCTCTTTAAACACATGTTTTGTATTTCTTTTTACCCCACTTGCTGGGTTTTATTTTATTTTTTTGGCGGTGGGGGGTTTCTAGACAGGGTTTCTCTGTATTGTTTTGGAGGCTGTGTCCTGGAACTCACTCTGTAGACCAGGCTGGCCTCTAACTCACAGAGATCCACCTGCCTCTGCCTCCCTAGTGCAGGGATTAAAGGCGTGTGCCACCAACACCTGTCACTTGCTGTTTTTCGTTGTAGATCTGCATAACAGTGGTTGTGATTGGACTGGACAGATGACTCAGCAGTTAATATGGGGCTGAAGAATTTTCTCAATGGTTAGAGCACTGGCTGCTCTTTCTGAGGTCCTGAGTTCAATTCCCAGCAACCACATGGTGGCTCACAACCATCTGTAATGAGATCTGGCTCCCTCTTCTGGCCTGCAGGCATATGTGCAGGCAGAGCACTGTATGCATAATAAATAAGTAAATATTTTTTAAAAAGTGATTTTGATTATTAATAACCACATTGTGGGGTAATTATTAGTAATTTTAACACCCCTTAGGTTGTCTTTGTGTTCCTGTGCCACAGGAATTGTTCCATTGCTTTTCATTTTAGGTTCAGGCAAGTCTTCAGCACTACTGTCTTCCAAACTCCTGCTAGGATGGCCTATTAACCTCCGCTTGCAGCACTCAACCACCTCCCTATTCCAGAGTCCCAGAGTCTTCCATATTCTTTAAGAAAAATCCAGATCATCATGTCTGTCACAGCAGTAGTGCAGCCCCAGCCTTCATACTAACCAACGTCTTAGTTCCTTTTCTATTGCTGTGATTTTTTTTGAAGAGACCATGACAAAGTCAACCTAAGAAGGAAGGGTTCATTTAGAGGTTAAAGTTCCAGAGGGTTAGGAGCTCATCATCATCATAGTAGAGAGTATGCAGGAAGCAGGCAGGCATGGCTCTGGACCAGTAGCTGAGGGCTCACATGCATCCACAAATAGAACACAGAGACAATGGAAGTCTTTTAAAACTGTCCTTCAACAAAGCCTGACCTCCTAACCCTTTCCAAACAGTCCCAGCAGCTAGGCACTAAGAATTCAAACAGGGTCCTATGGAAGCCATTATCTTTTAAACTACCACAATACATATTTTCTACTTCTGTCCATTCACTTACAAATTTCATGATTTCATTTTTCTTTACAGCTAAATAGAAATCCATGGTACATATTTACATTTTCACTATCCTTTCATGAGTTAAAGATATTTAAGTTGTTTCCATTTCCTGGCCATTGTGAATAGTGGCAATGTACATGACTGAACAAGTATGTATAGAATATGATGTCAGGTCCTTTGAGCATATGTTAGTCAGTACCAATGATGATAGACACTAAAAATATTGTGCACTAAAATTATTAGAAGTCAACTGGGGTATGTGTTCATTCTAGTAGAATAGATGAAAAGTCTAGTTAAACAGAGAAGGTAGGCAAGAAAAGGAACAAATTTATCAGGATGAAAAAGATTAGTTTTGGACCTACAGAATCTCAAGCTTATGGAATAGCACTTCCTGATCTAACTTATTACTTGTGTTAAGAAGGGATTCTAGGAGCCGGGCGGTGGTGGTGCACGCCTTTAATCCCAGCATTTGGGAGGCAGAGGCAGATGGATCTCTGTGAGTTCGAGGCCAGGCTGGACCGACAGCCTCCAAAACAATACAGAGAAACCCTGTCTCATTAAAAAAAAAAAAAGGATTCTACGGGCTGGAGAGATGGCTCAGAGGTTAAGAGCACTGGCTGCTCTTCTAGGGGTCCTGAGTTCAATTCCCAGCAACCACATGATGGCTCACAACCATCTACAATTCAATCTGGTGCCCTCTTCTGGCAGAACACTGTATATGTAATAAATAAATCAATCTTAAAAAAAAAAAAGAAGGAATTCTAGGTTGCTGAGGCAAAAAGCTTGTGAGTGAGCTCCAAGCAATTTTCGCAAGACCTTTTTTAAAATAAAGAGGGCCACGATTGTACAGTGCTTTGCTTAACCCTACCAGAGGTCCTGACTATCACCTATACTGTCTCAAAAGTGGGATCCTTAAAATTTATCTGTAATAAGATAAAACAAGAATGGTGCTGGTTTGTTTTCTAGACTAGAATATACTGCACGAACATCAGAGAGCTCAGAAGAATTCCTGGAAGAAGAACCCGAGAAGAGAGTGGTTGAATTTGAAGATGAAAACAGTGAGAAAGACGGGCAGCCTGCACTGGAAACTCAGCCGTGCCTGGAGAAACAAGATGGTGACAAAGTATGAAGACACTCACTCGTTAAATAAAGCCAGTGGAAGTCAGCTAGAAAATGTCTTTAACCATACTCTGCTAGAGAGCAAAGACCATAGGTTAGAAATTGTGGTTGGTGGTTAAGGAAAAGTACACAGTGATGGGGATAGGAAGACCTTCAGTGCGTTTGGAATTGTCGTCCTCAAGAACACAAGTGATAAAGCCTATAGGCTGGCTAGGGTCCAAGCAGTCCTCAGTTGCATCCCTGCCTTGTTAGAAGAATTAGAAGTTAGTTATTTGGACTTGAATTTTTATATTACTTATTTTTTTTTTTTTTGGTTTTTACAAGACAGGGTTTCTCTGTATTGTTTTGGAGGCTATCAGTCCAGCCCGGCCTCGAACTCACAGAGATCCGCCTGCCTCTGCCTCCCGAGTGCTGGGATTAAAGGCGTTCGCCACCAATGCCTGGCTTATATTATTTTTTTACTACAGATGATTTTATACATCCCTGAAGAGATAGGTTAGGTAGTTACAAAACAACATCCCAAAACAAATAGATAAATTCTCTGTAGCTAAGGAACTATTAATCTGACTTGATATTTGAGCTCTTTACTGTTCCCATCCTCCTTTCCGTATCTTTACCCATTTGTCCTTCCTTTTTGATATCTTCAGTCCTTTCTGTGTCACACATTCCTTGTTCATGCTTTGCTATGCTCCTGAGTTCATGAAAAGTCTTTCACTCATTTCCCTAGTGTACACAGTATAAGAATAAAAAGTACTACCAATTTTCTTTGTTACTATTATTTTTAAATGTTTATGGGTGTGTTGCCTCCATGTATGTCTGTCTAATGTCTGCTTTTGAAGGTCAAAGAGGGTCCAGGCATAATGGCACACACCTTTAATCCCAGCACTGGGGAGGCAGAAACAGGTGGATCTCTGAGTTTGAGCCCAGTCTGGTCTACATGGTGAGTTCTAGGACAGCCAGTACTATGTAGAAACAGTGTCTCAAAAAATGAAAAACAGGCTGGGCGGTGGTGGCACACACCTTTAGTCCCAGCAATTGGGAGGCAGAGGCAGGTGAGTTCAAGGACAGCCTCATCTACAGAGCAAGTTCCAGGACAGGCTCCAAAGCTACAGAGAAACCCTGTCTTGCAAAACCAAAACAACAGCAAGAAAAAACCAAACAAACAAAAAAGAGGCATGGAGTTGCAAATAGTTTAGGTTGCCATGTGGGTGCCATCTGGATCTCTGGAAAAGCAGCCAGTATTCTTACCAATCTTCTTGAAACTATAGTATACAGTGTGTATCATGTAACCTGTCTCATCTGGCAAGACACTGAGCATGTGTTATTACAACATTCCAGTGACAGCTCCGTTGGAATTCCAGTGACTTCTCTTACCTAGGGTGACAAACTACTTAACCTTCTTTAAGGTCCTCATGTTTCCTGGCTTTATAGCATTCTAATCTTTGAGGGTTTTAATTTTTGTTCTTGTGTATGTATATGTGTCCATGTGTCTGCATTTATGTTTCAGTCATGCTTTTTTCTCTTTAATGTGTACACTCTGGGAAACTCAATCTTTTGTCCTTTGATTTTTTGGTGGGATGGGGTGGGGTTCACATGCAGAGGCCTGAGAAGGGTGTTGGATGTCTTCCTCTGTTGCTATCTGCCTTAGTGTTTTGAGGTGGTGTCTTTCACTGAAATGAAGCTTGCCTTTTATCCAGACTGATTGGTTAGGCTGGTTGATCAGTGAGCCTAGAATCCATTTGCCTCTGACTCCTAGTGTTGGTAGTTACCAGAATAAGCAGCTGTGTCTACCCTTTTATGTATTGTGGGATTTGAACTTAGCTCTCATGCTTTTGCATACCAAACTCTCCTTAACAGCCATGTTGTCTCCCAACCCAAGTCTTTATGTTTATTATTATTATTATTATTATTATTATTTTTTTTTTTTGGTTTTTCGAGACAGGGTTTCTCTGTATTGTTTTGGAGGCTGTCCTGGAACTTGCTTGGTGGACCAGGCTGGCCTCGAACTCACAGAGATCCGCCTGCCTCTGCCTCCCGAGTGCTGGGATTAAAGGCGTGTGCCACCAACGCCCGGCTATTATGTTTATTTTTAATTGCCTGTGTGTGGGTATTGCTGCATGTGTACTCGCCTGCATGTGAGTGACGGTGCCCACAGAAGCCACAAGAGGGCGCTGAATGGGCTGGAGTTATAGACAGTTGTGAGCCAGGAGCTAGGAACTGCAAGAGCAGTAGTACTCGCTTCTAACCTCAGAGCCATCTTCATTGTGAGTTGAGTTTACTTTCCCATTTTGTTCATTCTGTTTTCAAATCTAAAACTTGAAGGATGGACCTTTTCTTTTTCATTTTTTCTTACTTTGTGACCACAGTTCTTGCATTCTGTTTTTCTGATTTTCTTCCCTTTAATGTCTATCCCACTCTAGTTGGTCCTTTTATAAAGTTTATTGTAATTACCTTCTGTGTGTAACCAACTCTGTATACAACTTAGTATATAAGTCAAATATATATATTAATGACTGAAAATATTCTCTGTGTGTGATAGAATCTCCCTTTATGTAATCCGGTCTATCCTTAGAATTGCCATTATAGTTACTTAGACTGTCCTCAGATTTGGACTCCTCCTGCTCATAGTCTTCCAGATTCTAGGATTATAGTCATACCACCAGGCTCACCTTGAAAAACTTTTATTTTAGAAAAATTTTAAAGTTCTCCTTTGGAAAATTTTCTTTGAGGCAGGGTTTCTCTACAGAATCCTGGGTGTCATGGAACTCACTATGTAGACCAGTGTGTCCTTGAACTCACAGAGATCTGCCTGCCTTGAGTGTTGGGATTAAAGGTGTGTGCCACCACACCCACCTGGAAACTTTTCTCTTATTTTCTTTGAAGAATCTGGTATCGTATCTAGTTTGAACAGTCATGTGCATTAATTTTGTGATTTTTAAAATTGTAATAGAATAACCTTGTTATTAGACTATCATTAGGAATTAAATATTCAACATTAGTTGGGTGTTGGTGGTGCACACCTTTAAATCTTAGCACTCTGGAGGCAGAGACAGGCAGATCTCTTGAGTTCAAGGACAGTCTGCTCTACAGAGCCAGGGCTACACAGAAAAACTTGCTTCAAAAACTAAGCAAGAAAAGAAATATTCAACATTAAACTGATATAAGTTGATAAATATTGGAAGAAAATGCCAAAACTTGGAAGGTTTTTCCATCAGATTACCTTTGTGTATTTTTGTTTTTTCTGAGACAGTGTTTCTCTGTGGCTTTGGAGCCTGTTCTGAAACTAGCTCTTGTAGATCAGGCTGATCTATTACTCACAGAGATCCGCCTGTCTCTGCCTCCCGAGTGCTGGGATTAAACGTGTGAGCCACCAATGCCCGGCCCCTTTCTGTATTTTAATAATATGAAGCAAAGAGATGATTGTCCAGAAATCACTCTGGGTTGACTGAGCCAACTGAGACTAGGCCTTTGTTCTCCCAGCAAGAATCAGCTAGACTTAGATTTCCAGGCCTGAGGGTGCTCACCTCTGAGCAGCTGGCGAGTGTGTGCAGAGAGCTGGTAGCAAGTCTCTGCTTGCTCAGTGCCTCTGATAGTTCATCTTCAAGTTGCCCTTTAAGAAAGACTAGATAGCTGGGTGGTGGTGGCACGTGCCTTAATCCTGGCTTTTGGGAGGCGGAAGCAGGCATATCTCTGAGGTCGAAACCAGCCTGGTCTACAGAGTGAATTCCAGGACAGCCAAGGCTACCTAGAAACCAACCAACCAACCAAACAAACAAAAAACCAGAAAGAAAAGAAAGAAGCAAAGATAGAGGAGCAGGATCTTTTCATTGAATCTCATATCCACATTGTGTACCCCCATCCAAGCCTCTTGGCACTGCCCTTATCATGAGAGAACAGCAAGTGTGTGGTCCTTGGGGATTTTTTACTTGACTGACACTTGCCTGCTAAATCCCTCTTCCAGTAAATTCATTCTTTACCTCATACTTTAGATTGTCTTAAGTTTATTATGAGTCCTGGTGGATGACATGTGGGGACTGAGGATGGGCCTTTCTTGAGTCATTCAGTGTAATCAGACCCTGGCTTCCCCCCCTGGTGTAGGGCTCTGCAGTAACGGATCTTTCTTGAGTCATTCAGTGTAATCAGACTCTGGCTTCCCCCGGTGTAGGACTCTGCGTTAGAGCCTGTGAATGGTGAAGTAGTGGATGATGCCCTTAAGACCTCACTTGTCACTGAAGAGGAGGACTCCACCAGTGAAGGTCTAGAAGAAGAGTTAAAAGTTCCATCTTTTAATTCCAGTGAAGAGACTGTGAATGTTGTTCCACCAGGGACCGACTCTCCAAAAGCTCCCGAGGCTGCTCCAGACAAGGTAAGGCAGAGTCACCTCAGTTTCTTATAGCAAGCGTTTGCCAGTGCTGGTGCCACTCTGGAGAGGTGGGGGACTCAGTCTCCCTCCACCCTAGCATGTAGTCCTTTAGGAAAATTTTATTTCAGACACTGGTTTTTATAGTCCTCTTTCAAGGACCAGTTCCACATCCACCCCATGCCATATCTGCTTTATGGTAACACAGTGAGAGTTCTTTTACAGACTTAGGGAAATTATTAGAAAAATTATAACAAAAAACATGGTTTAAAAATATTTGAGTACTCATTGTGTGCATGGCTATGACCACTACAGTAATTTTGATTGTTTTAGGTTCAGTAGACAAGTTAAAGAAAGGCTTGATGGAATATTTAATAATTAATTTCATTTTGAATATTTCAATTTATGGCTAAAAGACATATATAGTAATGCTTTCTAAGTGTCTTACCCATCACCTTTACTGCTGTTGTCTAATGAAACCAGTTAGAATGAGCAAGGGGTAGGGTAGCACAGTGTTGTCCCCAGAGATTCTTCTTTCTGGCTCCAGTAAACCAAAACTTAGAGGCATTTGGTAGGATCTTGAAGTTTAAAGTGTCTTTGTTACTCTTTTGAGGTAAAATGATTTCTTATAAGAATTTATGGTGTTAGACTTGCCATGAGACAATTTTGAAAACATTGAGTTGAATTTAGAATGTGGACTCATTTGTAAGAAAAATAGCCAATCTGAGTTCTTTACAGTTTAGTGACATTGTCTGAGAATGATTTATTTTAGAATATTTTGAGCTTTGTTTTTTTTTTTTTTCTCTTCAGACTTCACCTGTTTCTGACTCAGAAATGTTGACAGATCAAGGCCCATCTAATGATAAAGGACATACCGAAGAGAGGCTGTGCCAAGTTTCAAAGAAGAAAACACATTTGGGGAGCTCAGACAGTGTTGCCACTCTGTCAAATGAAGAGAAGTCTGACAGTGGTTTTCCAAATTCTGCAGTAGCAGACTTTCCTGAAGAGCCAGTCTCTGAGAATTTGTCGCCCAACACTACTTCCTCACTGGAGGATCAGGCTGAGGAGGGGGTCCCAGAGCCCCAGGAAACAGCTGCTGCTCAGAGTTCTCTGATAGAGGTAGAGCTTGAAGATGTGCCATTTCCACAGAGTGCAGGACAAAAGAACCAGTCAGAGGAGCAATCCGAAGCCTCTTCTGAGCAGCTGGACCAGTTTACACAGTCAGCCGAGAAAGCTGTGGATAGCAGCTCAGAGGAGATAGAAGTGGAGGTTCCTGTAGTTGACAGGCGGAATTTGAGAAGAAAGGCCAAAGGGCATAAAGGACCTGCCAAGAAGAAAGCCAAACTGTCTTGAATGAAGAAATGCGTATGATAAATCTTCTTCTTTGTAATGTAGTTGTTGTTTTTAAACCATAATTAATAAACAGTGTGGGGCACAGGACAAATTCCAAAATTTCAGTTTGAATTTATTTACAAATGCAGGTTTTCCTCTTCACTTTAGGAACTAGGATTCACCATTCTTTTTAATTTTTTCAGGCTATTTTCTCTAAGTAACCATGTGTCAATTTTGGGAATCCAGGTCATATATTTTTCTTTAGCAGGTGAAACATCTAACCATAATATTTTAAAAATACCAATTTAAAACTAGTAGATTTTTCTAACAAACATCACAGAAGTCTTTTGTACTAAGGGTTTTAATGGTAAAACTTGGCAAGGGTTCTTGAGGTTTTATCTTAGTATCAAAACCAATCTCCATTTTTTAAGTGTAGGCATACCTAAACAAAAGTGTCAATAAATAAATCTCAGGTGAGACGACAAAAAATGAAGTTCATGGCCAGTGAAGATGATTGTTTTAGGTTTTTATTTATTGTCATAGATGCAGTTTCTTTAATGTCTGTGGGGAAGTACACGCAGACTAGCCTTCACGTCATCTGGTGTTAACAGTACTGTTAGAAATTTAACTGACAGCTGGGCAGTGGTGGCGGCGCACGCTTTTAATTCCAGCATTCAGGAGGCAGAGGCAGGCGCATCTCTGAGTTTAAGACCAGCCAGGTCTACAGAGCCACTGCCAGAACAGGCTCCAAAGCTACAGAGAAACTCTGTCTCAACCCCCCCCTTCAGAAAGAAAGAGAGAAACAGAGACAGAGAGAGAGAGAAATGGCATGTGGGCAATTTAAAGTTCCACCTAAAGTGTTGGTTTGCTATAATTTAAAAATTTTTCTGTATATTTGCATAATCTGGTAAACACCTCAACTAATTGAATTTAGAATGGACTGTGGTCCTGATCACAGATAACTTTTTATTCCTACCTAATTAATGGGAGTACCGCATAAATATAGGCCCCTTTCTAAACCTGCTTAATCCCTCTACAGCTAAGTCACTGTGATTCTTCTTTGAAAAAAACTTGCATCTAGCTTATGAGTTACACCCTTGTTTCCATTTTGGGATAGGTTTAGGACCACCATGTTTAGACAAGCTACCCTATGAGATGAACAAATGTGTAAATTCTCACTCACTCTGTTGTCCCTTTGGGGTTTGCATACTTTAGGTGGGATTCCAAGTACTGACTACAAGCTGTCCTGTATGTATACCTTATTGCCATGGCAAATACATTTGATTTGTATTGGGGGGGTGAACCTGTTCATTTCTTTATAACAATAGGTTTTAAAATGAACAAAATGATTATTCTTAGAATCCATAGAGAATCTGTCAATACTACTTTGGAAGTACCATGTGCTCTGATTTACACTTAAGTTGGAGACTACTTTGAAATCATTTAGATTTGTTTTTGAAATAGTTTGATATCTGAGGTGCTGTAAGTTTTTGTTCAGCTCATTCACTCTTCAGTCAGGTGATCTGGTGATGTCATGTCTTACATTTTTCTTAGGGATGCTGGTATTTTAGAAAACTTTAATTAAAAATCAGACCAAATAGCAAACTCTTCCATGATGTTAGAACACTTGCATTTACCTGTTGTTTTAATTTTTGGTTGTAAGCTAAATGGTTTCATTCTAAGTGAAAAGTATAGTGTTTTTCTCAATAAATGCTAACTTAAAGAATAGTTATGATTAATTCTGGCAAGTTTGCCAAATGCTGATGCTGCTTTATACATTTAGAGAAGCTTCAGTTAATATCTCAATTAGGGTATAACTGGAGTCTGTTAAGATTCAGAGACTTAAATTCTAGTTTTTTTTCTTAATGCACACTAAAGAATTCTTCCAGTTACTTTATTTTTGGTTATTGTTCCCTTTATATCACATTCTTTAAAAATGAGTGTTTCTAGGAGATTGTACCCACTGGCAGCTCAATATTTGAATAATCTCTTGAATTAAAGAAAAATAGACATCACATTGGGGACTTGCAGCATAAGCTTATACTTACCAAACTATTTAGCATAATTAAAGCAATTTCAAAACATTTAGCACACAAGAAAACTTGTTAATTGTCTGTGATAGAAGTTAAAGTTTTGAGATCACAGAGGAAAAAGCTGGGTCACACAGAAAAGATCTTTTATATTCAGTAACATACTGATTATATAAAATTTATAACAAATTATATTCAGTAGGGAACCTAAATAACCTTAGATACCTGTAGCTTTTGCAAGGCACGCAGGGATCTGCTGTAATTTCAAGCAGCCGTTTGTTGAGTGTTTGGTCACATTCTGTCGTCTCTCATGATTGGTACTTTTGTTTAGAAGTCATGTGTGAGAAGGACTTTCCCTTCTGGTGTATATACATATATATTTCCTTATATAATATAAAGCAGATGAGTATTAGCAAAAATTTAGTTCTACTTTCAAACTTAAACTACTGTTAGACCACATAAAAATTTATTTAAGAATTTTATTGTAAAGCTCCTTTACAACTTTTAAAGATGGAGAGTCTATTATGATTTTTTTAATTTAAATCAAATAATAGCATGACTTAGTGTCAGTCTTTACATGCGTTCACAAACTTTAATGTGTCTACTTACATTGGTTTGTAGAGTAAGGAGAACATCTAGTCATTAGTGGTTTACTTTTAACAATGACCACAGTGTTACCTAAGATGGTTTGTGACTTTAGACTAGTATTCCTTTAAGCCTTTTCTACCAACTAAACATCTGTTCTAATGTTCTTTCCTTGGGGATTACCTTCTAAGGTGTGGTCACACCAGCAATTGAAACAGATTTAAATGTAAATAAAGAATTTATACTAACACTTCTCATGTGTAACCGTATTTTAGAGACCAACTTCTGCTTTTTATGTCCACTAGAAATCTGGTGTTTTGGGTGTGGTCTGTTAACATACATCATGCTTGTTTTCATACTTCCTACAATGCTTTTTGGGTACAAGATAGTTTGCTGCTTCTAGTTCTAAAAAAATAAGCAAACGTATTTCAACAATACCCACTGATTACCTGAAGTCAAACTTCCTTTCACCATCTGTAACTCAAGTGACTAAATCATACATTACCTGTTCATATTGGTGGAAAATGTTGAAATCTAATTGTAAGAAAGGTCCCCCAGGTGATTCTGTCTGTACTGAGTGGTCATTTACCAGCTTTCCCTTTCCCCTCACCATCTCTGTATGTTCTAAAACTTAGCAGGGGAAATGTATTATTCAGAGTAACAAGTCTTACTGGAGAATTTATGGTTTGTTTCCTTGCTAGTTGCCCACCCCCCAATGCTTAAAATAGTAATTAAACCTATATTTTGTGATTGCTTTCTGGGTTTGTGCTTTCAATTTTTCCTTTCCCTCCTAAGTTTCATTCATGAAGATGTTCTTATACATTGTATTAGACATTAAATGCTTCTCCCAAAGGCACAACTAACCACACTGGCTGTATTATGAACGCAGACTTGAAAAAACAATTTAAAACAGTATGGTGATAAACCCTCTTTCTGAAGCTTAAAGCTATGACCATATATGATTCATGTATCACAAAATAGCTTATATTAAGTTAAAACTCTACTCATGACTTTTAATCTAATTAAGTGTTGCATCTCAGGGTACTGGTACATAGTCTAGAATTATCTAAATCAATTTTTAACATGGTAGCAGTGCAAATTCACTTCCCTATTTTTAGAATATAGAAAATGGTAGAAGTACACTTGAATTCACTGCAGTACTATATTAAATTATTAATTACAAGTGGAAAAACTACTACTATAAAACTGAGCAGTTTTTATTTTTCTTTACAATGTAATACTCCTCGATGAGTGCACATGAGTAAGGCAGCTTGGTAGTATTCAGAAAGATCACAGTGGTGGTGTTTCCTACGGACGTGTGGTCTTCAGTAGAAGTCACTATCAAACTAGCAAGACTGCATTTATGCATCCATCATTTTCAGGATTGTTGGTAACTTGGGCATACTTTCCTGAGGAAAACAAAACCCATAGAAAAGAATGTTAACAGAACTAATTTTAGGAATAAAACTTTTGTCTAAAATATTCCTAACCACCAAATTTAGTAAGAAATGAGTGCAAGATAAGCTAATTCGAGATCAAGTTGTACTCTGATAAATTTATGTAAATGTTCACAAAAAGCCGCTAGTTCCATTTTATTAATACATTAGTGTCTACTTTCCCACAATGACTTATTTTGCTTTAATTTCAAATTAATTTAACAACCTATTTTAAACATTCAAACACCACCTAAGTTTAAGCATAACCTGGGCAATAAAAGCAGAAACTGAATCAATGAGGAAAGACCTCATCTCTCCTCCCCCTAACACACTTGGCTCTTCTACATTGGAAAAAAGTTGTTATATACTCTAAGACATGGAGAAGTAGTTGTGGTAGGACTACAGGAAAGCAACCCCATACTTAAACTTGTACTTACCCCAGATAACCTTGCCTCCCTGTGTCACAAGGCCTAACTCGCTCACATTGACTTCAATAACTGTGCCTTTGGTGATTACACCCAGCGTTGTATATAATGGTGAAGATGGGTTCTTTTTCACTCCAAGGATTGGCAGGCAAAAGGTAGCTTTCAGCTCAGGATGTGTGACATGGGCTTTTTTGAAGCGCAGGCCCTAGTAAGTCAATCAAGAATGAGTCCAAATGGTGAACAGTCTTTAAAATCATCTTTTCTAATCATCTCAACTAGGAGATGAATAATGTCTTAAAACATCAGATAAAATACTAATGTTTTTACAGACTAAAAATTTCACAGTGGAAAAATGTGGTAGGAAGAAGTACACACAATCCAAAAGGTTTGCCCATGTAAAAATGCCCTGTCAAAACTTGTATTTTTCAGTTTCCAGTCATTACACTTACTGAAGGTTTACGATACGCTAGACACTGCTAGAGTTCACAAGTGGCTCATTTATACATGACAACCTTATATGAGCCTTCCGTCTTCACAATGAATAAAGAAGGGTCTGCAGGTTTGAGTTTTGTTTGTAGATTAAATCGTATGTGGTAAATGGAATCAAACCTACAAGTTCTAATTTCAGATTCCAAATACTTCAGCCACCCTTAAAGATGGGGAAGGAAAGGGGATTGGAGGGTGTTAGCTTTCTTTATGTAGATGGAAATATGATTCAAAAACTGGAGAATATTCTGAGAGTCCTTGTTAGATGTCACAAAGTCACCCAAATGGGATCCTATCAGTACAGTACTTTAAATGTCAGAACACCATGGTCTTGCTTTATTTTCACCTGTGTGGGGATGGAAGAAAATGTTTAAGTTCTAATTAGTACTGGACTAATTGTGAGAACCTTCCTGCCCTGGAGGGGGGAGGGAATGCCATCAAAATGCAGTCCAAAGATTATGACTACAAAATCGAAATCAGGCCTCTGGTGCAGTAAGTGAATTTAGGGTGGAGAGGGTGCATCGCTGGGGTGAAAAAGCATGGCTGTTACCAGTGACTGAAGCATTGAATACATTACAAATTATTCAGATTGAGCACTAGGAGCAACACCACCATTTTTTGTTACTAAGCAAGCTAAACAGTGGTTTATTAAATTTCTGAAAGAGTTCTCAAAAAAAAAAATTCAGTTCCATATCTTTCTTTCTTTTTTTTTTTTTTTGTTTTTCGAGACAGGGTTTCTCTGTGGCTTTGGAGGCTGTCCTGGAACTCGCTTGGTAGTCCAGGCTGGTCTCGAACTCACAGAGATCCGCCTGCCTCTGCCTCCCGAGTGCTGGGATTAAAGGCGTGCGCCACCAACGCCCGGCCAGTTCCATATCTTTCAAAGCAGGAGAGGAAATTCTAGGCATGGGATTAGTCTGTAGAGATATTATCATACCATCAATAGAAATTAAGCTACTTTTATAGTTCCTTATAAAAACAAAATGGTTACATATAGAATGCACTAAAGTAATAAAAGACGTTTACCTCACTAAACCTCAGCTAAATCCAATGCCTGTTTTGGTCTTTTGGCTAAGACCAAATGTAAGCAAACATTCTTACTCGAATTGTCTAATGGGTTGGTATCAAAGGTCCATGCTTGAGGCCTGCCTAGCACAACAGGCATAAGGAAAACGTGACTATAAAAAATGAAGAGCCTAATGTATTATGTTTAAATAAAAGAATTCACTGGCAAGATGTTATAAAAAAATTCTTTCATTTTAAATCAATTATGAATCTGAAGCTAAGATTCAACCTAGATTCATGGAAAAATGCTAAGTAATTCCCACTAATGACTTAAAAATAGCACAAGATGTGCTGTCCAAACTGTTTTACACATCAATTTTAGAAATTTCAGGAAAGTGTACTATGCTTTACCCAAGAATATTTAACAAGGGGCTAACAATAAGTTATCACACTCTTCTCTTACCATTGGCCTAATGAACCTTTCATACTTAGGCGGTTTTCTTGTAAAACCATCACCAACAAAGCAGACTTTGGTAACCATCCTCTTCCATGCCTTCTTTTTTCTTTTTCCTGTTCGAATAACTTTCAAGACTTCTGTTTCTCCTTGGGCACGAACTTTGGGTAGAGGGACTTCCCATTTCCCCTAAAAGTGTAGGTTTATATTATAAGAAAAAGATATAAGAATAAGTCAAGTGTTTTTAGTTAAAGTAGAAGATTTACTTCTCCTTAACCACTCAACCCACTTCAGTTGTTCAACTGTTTTGGAGAAGTACCTGCTGTCTCTTCACAAGCCATAATTAAGCAAAACCAGTTAAGTTCATATATCCTAGGTACATTAAATATATAGGTTTCGTTAAGCTAAAATCTCTTCATAACCTTGTCATGGATCCAAAATATATCCTTTAAGGCAATGACTTATACACACTATATTCTTGTTATTAGTTACAAGCACAATGTTAGAGAATGAAGTGCACTTTTGTATTTTTCCCTAAAATGGACTTTGAGACTGCTAGTAAAATTATCAGATGGTTTGTACTGCTCCAGAATACATAATACAAAACCTCTAAAGCTATAGCAGTATAAGGCAATGGAAAGAATTCTGAACAAATATTACTAAAACGTGTGGTGATAAGTTTGTTTATGATCTAACAAATAAAGCTTACCTGAAGATCAGAGTGCAAAGCTAGTCACACTAGCCACAGAGGCCAGGATCTTTAATCCCAGCATTTGGGAGACAGAGGCAGAGGACTCTGTTAGTTCAAGGCCACTCTGGGCTACACGAGATTGAATCTTGTCTAAAGGAGAAACAGAGCTCACACAAAGGTAATCCCAACACCTGGAATCTCATGCCTTTAATCCCAGCACCAGGGAGGTGGAGACAGAGAGAGGAATATAAGGCAGGACAGGAGAGAGATGCAGTCTGAAGACAAGACAACCCCTTTGGTCTGAGCATTGGCAGAGAAGTATGAACTCTCTAGTGGCTGGCTGCTTTGCTAATATCTGACTCTGAATTTTTATTATAAAGAACAATTACAATTAGTGCTATAGACATGGTTTCTAGGAGCAACTTCAGCATTTCCCAATGACCTGACAGCTAAGAGTGATTTACAGTCCCTTGAACTCTAGTCTTTTATCTGTAGTTAGACTAATTCAATATATTCTTAAACAGATAATCACTGGTATCAGTACCAGTTATACCATTCCAAATCTACTCATAGGTACTTAAAAATAGTAACTGTAAAAGGTATGTTAAAAGAATTATTGGATTTTTATTTAAGTTAAATCTACTAGAACCAATTTTGGCTCTACAAGGCAAGAAAAACAAGAAAGCTGTGTTTTTCTCCACAGTTGCACAGCATCAGAGATTTTCAAATGTAGAAAGTCACCAATTGAGCCGGGCGGTGGTGGCTCACGCCTTTAATCCCAGCACTCGGGAGGCAGAGGTAGGCGGATCTCTGTGAGTTCGAGGCTGGGCTGGACCGACAGCCTCCAAAACAATACAGAGAAACCCTGTCTCGTAAAAAAAAAAAAAAAAAAAAAAAGAAAGTCACCAATTACTGAATTTTTTAAGGTTCACTGCTTACGCACTTTGTTATTAATTAAATTTTAAATGAAAGATGTATGACATTCTAATGTCTTGCAGAGTCTCATGTAGATGAAATTGGTTTCAAACTTACTATTTAGCCAAGGATGACCTTGAACTTCTGAACCTCCTGACTCCCAAATCCCCCCAGTGCCGGGATTCCAGACGTGCTAGGCAAACAGTCTGTCAACTGAGCTACATCCATAGCTCACTCTGACAAATTTTTGTTAAAATTTAAATTCTAAAATTTTTTCAGCTGGGATATATCAACCTTGCTGACAAGACATCAAGTTTCTATCAAACTAAATTCATAAAATGTGGATGCAGAGGTAACTTAGCAGTTAAAAGTCCTTGCTGCTTTCCAGAGAACCTGGGTTGCGTTCCCAGCACCCACACAGCACCTCATAACAGTCAATAATTCCAGTTCCAGGGGATCTGACATCCTCTTCTGGTTTTTGTTGGCATCATGTGGTGTCATAAATACACACACACACACACAGGCAAACACACAAAATAAAAATAAGCAATATCCAAATAACAGAATAGTTGCCCTTAATGTTCCAAATTAAACTGGAGATAAATCTAGAACCTCAAATTCTAACTTAAATATTTCTGTCAAAAAAAGATTTGCTTATTGCTTACCGCCTTCTCTTTTCGTTTCTGCTTAATCATGTTGGAAAGCACTTTTGCCCGCGACTGTCCCTCTCTGTCCAGAAGATAGGCAGGTACTGCTCCTTGTGGGGTCTTCTCATCATCCTTTTGTTTGGTGTTTCTCTTTTCATGCATCTTAATACTATCAGAAAGGAAAGAGAGTCAGCACGTGCGGTAGTTATTGCACAGTAGGTGTTCCCTGACTATGAGACAGGTGCACTTACGTCTTTTTCATTTGTATTTTCTCCGCATGGCGCTGTTTGTGGTAGAGCTTAGCCTTCAGGCCAATCATTTTTTTTGCCTTCTTTGAACGTTCGTGGGCCTCCCGACTTTCTTTCTTTCTCTTTTTCTCATGATAATCCAAACGATACCCATAGCGTTTACGGTGTAATTCAATATATTCATTTTGTGGCTGTAATGATTCAAGAAATGTTGTTTTAGTTTTTGTAAGTGCTTACAGGATTTTTCTACGATTTTACATAGTACATAAAATAGACAAGACTCCCATACTATTCAAAGCTTTAATGATTCTAGCACTATTATTCATATGATGTAAATTAAATTTATTTTAAACTTGGACATCATTTATTTACACAACACGAATCCCAGAAAAAGCTACTATCCAATGAAAGGATTTATCCAAAAATCTACTAAAAAGATCCGATAACTACAGGATTTAATTCGTTTTTCTTTGAGCAATAAGGTAAATTTTCAGGTATTTTATTAGGAAATTTGTCAGTTTTACCAAAACAATTTACATAAAATAAAATTTGCTTTAATCCCAGCACTCAGGAGGCCTGGTCTACAAAGTTCCATGACAGGCTCCAAAGCTACACAGAGAAACCCTGTCTTGAACCAACAACAACCAAAAAACAATTGCCAGTTTTCGTTGTAGGTGTGTAGTTGTAATTTCTGACCTATCATACATTTCTGTAACCACGATAGTCAAGATGGCGAATTTATTTTCCATTACCCCAAAATGCTCTTCTGTGCTACTATAAAGTCAGTCTTCTCTCCCCATCTTCATGCTTACATATTTTTTTCCTTTTGGTTTTTGTTGACGGTTTCTCTGTGTAGCTCTGGCTGTACTAGAACTGTCAGAGATTCACCTGCCTCTGCCTTCCCATTGCTGATATCTAGCCCTGTGCCACCTCACACAACCTAACATTTCTGTGGTTTAGTTTTTCCCCAGTGAACGGAATCTACGGAACATACAGCTTTTTGCATCTGGCTTCTTTCAACTGGAACATATCCTTCCACCCCTCTGGTGATTACGAACAAAGTTGCAATATAGTTGAATTCAGATCTCTGTATGGAAATTGTCTACTGTCATAGTGTCTTCCCAAGTGGGTGTATTATTTTGGACGTTGTCAGTAATGTATGTGATCCCTCTGCATCTTAAAGAGCTTCCATTTTACTAATTTAACGATGAAACTCTGGTCAGCTTTATGTTGAACACACACACACACACACAACAATAATGAAAGGCAAAGTCCACGTCCATGTCAGAGAACAATAACAAAACCATTAAGGTTGGTGTTTCAACTGCTATCACAAACGTTTCAGCAACCACAAGACAAGTATTATAAAGCATTCCATTTTTGTAAAGAAACATCCAGTAGAAAGAGCTGGTAGCCTGGATGGATAAGTTTGGTTCCGCATTTTATTCGCTGTTTGACTTTTTGCAAAGACTATGGGTGTTCTGAGCAGTAGAATGGTGTGTTGCCATCAATGCTTACTATCCAGGGTTATTACCACAAGCCTCGACTCTATTCCGTTAGGCTGGCACTGAAGACGCGCTACCAAGGTTAGGACTTTAGTAGTGAATTCTGTTCCCCGCCCCGAAGCTGTGACTTCTAGCTAAGCATTCGTTCCCGTAGTCTACATCAAGTTCCACAGTGTCTCAGTTCCGCCTACCGCCGTCCTCCCGCCCGACAGTCCAACCACGCTCAACCCTCTACCCCCAGTCGCAACACCCGACGCGGCCTCCTTACCATGATGACAGCCGCGGCGCGGCGGTCCGCGAACTCCCGGTGCTAAAAAATGCTCTTCTGGGTCTCACCGGTCCACGAGCCCACTCGCGGAAGGCGGAACAGGAAAGGGCAATCCTTTTAGTAGGCCGAGTGAAGCGCAAGCGCCACACAACCGTTCCGCATCGACTCTCCGCTCCTAGGCAGATGAGCGGAAGTTGCTGGCAGGCGAGATTTAGCTGACGGACCGCCGGAAATGGGAAAGTGGGCCCAGCCGGGGAGTTCGTAGGTTACATCTGCAGGTATGAGGGTGGTTTAGTCTGTGGGGCGTTGTAACGTGAGACCCTTTTCAGTTTTGGAGTGGCGGGCGCCCCTGGCTCCCCGCATCCTGGCGGAGGTGGTCGTTGGTGCACAACCAAGTGCCCCGTGGGTGATGCAGCGGCGACCGGGTCTGTGCGGGGCTCTGATGACAGCCACAGAAGCCCCAGTCCTTGATGCCTGCTGAATTAGGGACGTTTTTCTTCATCCCTTATCAAGGGCGACTGGTTCTTTTGTTTCTCCCTTGTAACTTATGTGTGTACAATTAATTGAAATTTACTATGTAGAAAGTAAATCTGCTGGGCCAGCTGCCAGGAAAGCAATAGATAAGTTTGTTTTTGTTTTTGTTTTTTATTTTTTTGGTTTTTCGAGACAGGGTTTCTCTGTGGCTTTGGAGGCTGTCCTGGAACTAGCTCTTGTAGACCAGGCTGGCCTCGAACTCACAGAGATCCACCTGCCTCTGCCTCCCAAGTGCTGGGATTAAAGGCGTGCGCCACCAACGCCCGGCCGATAATTTTGTTTTTATGGAGGCTCAGGACTTACTAAGTCACTAAATTCTTGAGCCCCCTTTTTAAAATCTGGGAACTAGCACTGAACGGACTTGGATGAACTGACTCTCTAGTGCCGGGAAGGAATTTCCAAGAAAGCACATATAATTAGGATCAGTTTTATCTTTTAAAATATTTTGTCACTTTATTATTTTTTAATGTGTATGGGTGTTTTGCCTACATGTATATCTGTGCACCACGTGAATGCCTGGTGCTCTCAGAGGCCAGAAGAAAGTGTTGGGTCACTAAAAATAGTTTGGAATGCTAGTGGGATCTGGGAATTGAACCTGGGTCCTCTGAAAGGACAAATTAACCGCTCAGCAATGTCTCCAACCCCCAGTTTTACCTTTTACTGTAGTCACAGAAACTTCCTAATTAATTCTTAAGTTTGGAACTACCAATATTAGAAAGTATTCACTTCAAAAAGTCTTAGTGCTTGGATTCAGGGTTTTCTCTCCATAGTAATTGTTTTGTTTGTTTGATTTTTCGAGACAGGGTTTTTCTGTGTAGTCCTGGCTGTAGGCATTTTGGGTAGATCTGATGGGACAGGTATTCTGGCACTCGGGAGCCACAGAATACTAAGTGTTACACAGCTCAGATGGAAAGGTATCGTGGAGCTCGGGAGCCAAGGACTACCACAGGCTGCAGTAAGTGTAGCAGCTGTAATTACAGCCCTGCCTCAGAGAAAGGCTTCCCCAGTGTATCAGCTCTGCTTCAGCAGGACAGGGTCTTCCAGAGATGTTTGCCCAGTGTAGCAGTTTTGCTCTGGCAGGAGAAGGTTTCCCGGACAAAGTTGCTACAGTTCATCTCTGCTCCGGGAGAGTGGAGAGCTGAGTGTAACAACTCCGCTCTCCAGGCCAGGCTCAAGTCTCCATAGAATAATGGTGACTTTTTAAAAATTTGTATCTAATACTAATTACCATTCGTGTGATTTCAGGTGCAGTGAATTATGTAATTTATCAGACTAGAGTATGGTCATCCGTCCCCATTGCCTCCCTTGCTGACTTTAGGTGTTTGGTTTAATTTCATAGTTCTAGCGAAGCCTCGCTTGACCTCCTCACCATGACTACCACATTTCCCTTTGTTGCTTAATTCTTTTCTACAGGATCTGTGACAATAGGCTGCTGTATATTTTTATTTATTCCTTTGTTTGTTGCCCTTGAGTTGGCTAGAGTCAGGGTGAGTGCAAAAATTGTCTTTGTCCACTGCATTAACTCCAGTACCTAGAAAGCAGTGTTAAATACAATTCTTGTTGAATGTGTGGATTTAATTCTCATGCCATTTCTGTGGTGTCATAGGGGAATGACTGAAGTTCAGAAATTTCTAGTGATTTGTCTAAGATTTCAGAAGACCTGGGACTCCAGCAAGTCTTACAGTACTAAAACACAGGATTTTGTTGTTGTTGCTTTTTAAAGAATTTATTGAATAGATACACTATAGATGTATGTCTCAGTGGGTCTTCAGATGCTATTTAATCAACTGCCCGATGAAGAAATGACTAATCTGAGTCTAGGAATTACTGGGATTAAAGGCGTGTGCCACCAATGCCCGGCCCAGATCTCCTTTCTTAAATCTTCTCTCAGCACCATCTTAAATTCTGCTTTTGTAGAAGTATGTTTTATGTTTGTTTTTAGGTGTCCCATGATTTTTTAATGTATTAAAATTTATTGGCATGCATTATGTTTACTTGTTTATTTATTTCAAGTGCCAGTGTGAAAACACATGCATTTGTGTATAGAGGTCAAAGAATAACTTGTGGCAGTTGATTCTTATCATAGAAAGTCTTAAGTCTTGATAGACTGTCAAACCCAAACTAGTAGATCCTAATTTTCCAGAATTCTCACTGTCATTTAAAAGCTTGGACTTATGACAGTATATAACTATTAGTTGCTTTCTTTGAAATGAATTATTATGTTAGTTGTTTAATTGTTAAAAGTTTCTTTTTTCTTTTTTGGTTTATTGAGACAGGGTTTCTCTGTATTGTTTTGGAGCCTTTCCTGGAACTCGTTAGACCACGATGGCCTCAAACTTACAGAGATCCGCCTGCCTCTGTCTCCCCAAGGGCTGGGATTAAAGGCATGTGCCACCTACACTAACAAATTGTTAAAAGTTTCTAAGTCTCTAAGTCTGACTATCCTAATTTGTCTAAGCAATCCTCCAAGTAAACAGTGCTCCATTCAAAAAAAGTGGCCGATTAACTTTTAAAACCATCAGTTAATAACCTTTGATTTCACTGTCTGTTAAGAATAAGTGTGTAACGCCTTTAATCCCAGCACTCAGGAGGCAGAGGCAGGCGGATCTCTATGAGTTTGAGGCCAGCCTGGTCTACAGAGCGAGTTCCAGGACAGGCTCCAAAACAATACAGAGAAACCCTGTTTCGAAAAACAAAAAACAAAAACAAAACAAAACAAAAGAATAAGTGTGTAATTATGGGTTGAGATTTAATCGAGGGGGCCTGAAGAGATGACTCAGAGGTTAAGAACACTGGCTGCTTTTCCAGAAGTTTTGAGTTCAATTCCAAGCAACCACATGGTGGTTCACAACCATCTATAATGAGATCTGGTGCTGTCTTCTGGCATGTAAGCATACATGCAGGTATAACACTGTTTACATAATAATACATCTTTAAAAAAAGATTCAATGGAGGAATTTTTATTGTATCAAGCATATTCTTATGTAAAATGAAAAAATTTTAGAGAAAATCAATTTTTACTTGAGACATTTATACATGCATAGAATTTATGTGCTTCGGTTTAACCAGACAGGGTTTCTCTGTGTCTGGCTATCCTGGAACTCATTCTTTAGACCAGGCTGACCTCCAGCTCACAGAGATCCATCCTGCCTCTACCTCCCTAGTGCTGAAATCAAAGGTGTGCACCACTGCCACCTGGCCATACAATGTAATTTGATCATACTCACTCTCAACTCCTCCCAGATCCATCTTCCGCCCTAGTAATCATAATCATCTTTTTAGTTTCAAAAAGGTTCCCTTTTATTATTTTTAATGGTGTGTGTTTGTGTGTGAGTGTGTGCGCGTGTGCGCACATGCGTGAGTCCTGGTGCCGTGGAGGCGATAGAGGTCAGAGACGTCAGAATTTTTGAAGGTAGAGTCACTGACATTTGTGGGCTGCCAGTGTGGGCACTGGGCTTCAAATTGAACTGAGGTCCTCTGCAAGAGCAGCGTGCACTCTTAACCACGGAGCCATCTTCAGCCCAGCATGCATATTCTTGATGCAATTATTCAACTAATTATTTGAGCATTAATAATATAGCAGCTGGTAATATATTCTTTTTTTTTTCCTTCCCTGCGGGGGTGTTTGAGACAGGGCTGCTCTGTGACCCTGGCTGTCTTGGAACACACGATGTAGACCAGTCTAGCCTTGGACTCCCAGAGACCCAGCTGCTTCTCCTGGGATTAAAGGTGTGCGCCACCACTTCTGGCCAGCTGATAATGTATTTTGCTGCCAGTGCCTGGATATATGCCAAGGTGACCCCTGTTTTGCCTACCACACAACCAGTACCAATGTGAATACTGAAAAGGATGGTTAACAATGCCTTAGCATTATTGTGAAAGTAATTTTGACTTTCAAGAGGTCTTAATAATCCTAAAGATCTATAGATCACCATTTGAGAATCAATGAGTTGCAAGGTGTTTTTCCACGTACTGACATTTTGTTCTTTGTCAGAGGTGGATACCCTGTGAATTTTAGAATATGTAGCAGTATTGATCTACTGGATGCCAATTGTGCCTCTCTGACAATCATTGCTTGTGTTCTTGAGCAAGGATATACGTATGTAAACGTTTTTCTGTTGGCAGTACTGGGTGAGAGTGACTAAAGACAGGGTCTGTTACATTAGTAGCTAGAGAGGGAAGATGAGGCCTGCACTCTGACATTTGGAATAGATTCAAGATATACTTAGGAAATAAAGTGAAAAGACTTGGTGACTTGAGATTATGTGCGGGTTTAGGAAGAAGACAGTTTCTGCATGACCCCTTGTCCTAGGGTGTTAGATACTTCTGTCTTCTCATCACACCATTGATATTGTACTTTGAGCCCAGTGAAGGCTTGTAAGTGTGGGTTTGGGAACTTACGGCAGTGCTGAAGTCAAAGCCAGGACCTCGGGCATACTAAGCAAAGCTCTACCTAGGAGTGCTGCTTCAGGGTTAGAGAGTATGAAGCATAGGTGCTCTGTCTGTAACCACTCTGGTATATCTTCATGGGGTTTAAGTTTCACATATTTATGGCTAAAAATATCAGAATATGTAGATAGGTTTTGTTGTCAATGAGAAACTGCCAAAT